GTTTGGAGCTCCGGTCTGATTCCCTTGCTCCGCAGCTGGCTTCACTGAGTATTATTCACGCAGCTTCCCAGGGTTAGGGGCTTTGCTGTCACTGCCCATGCTGTGCTGTAACCTTCGTGGGCTTCCTTTCTGCGAAATTAGTCCTAGGTACACACACACACGTACACATGTACCCCCCCCCACACACTTTCAAAAAAAATACTGCCAGTGGGTGGTGGTAGAAATTTTTAATTTTTTCCAGTACATACCAAGCAAGATCTCATCAGTTACCAGATGCTAAACCGACCATTAGGAAACCGGCACGTGTACTGTCCAGCCTCCTTCAAAATCCTGGCTATTCACGTCCTTTACACTTAGCAAAGAGGAAGTGCCATAGCACAGGGTTAGAGATGGAGGCAGGGTTCTGAGGTTACACATATCCTGGTACTGCAAATCACTATGTGACCTTGCTCTTTTTCTCTGTTTGTAATAGAATATTAGTGATTACATCATAGTTTTGTGAAGATCAAGTGATTTCAAACAGAACATTTAGAGAGCCTGGCAAAACTACACATATGTCCCTACTCACGTCAGTGGATCAAAAATATACACACAAGCCGGGCGGTGGTGGCGCACGCCTTTAATCCTAGCACTCGGGAGGCAGAGGCAGGCGGATCTCTGTGAGTTCGAGACCAGCCTGGTCTACAAGAGCTAGTTCCAGGACAGGCTCCAAAATCACAGAGAAACCCTGTCTCGAAAAACAAAAAAACAAAACAAAAAAAAAAAACATACAAACAAATAGAAGCAAGAAGCCATTGGATATAGATATAAATTAGATGTAAATTATTTTAAGGGTAATTTTTGAAACCCCTTCTCGGATGAGTAGTTTTGTGTGTTACCGGTCAAGCCTTTGTGAGTTTCAGATGTAACAAGTATATCAAAGTGCTTGCCATTTGTATCTATTCATTAAACGAAGCTTTCTAGTTAAACCTTTTCATTTATTTTTGGCCAGGCACTTGGTAGGCTTAGGAGTTTTATTTAATATTGCCCTCCAGTGTGACAGGATCACTTTCTATTTCTTTTATATTTAATTTCAGACATCCTGTAATGCTGCTCTTGGGAGGTTTCTGTAGTTTTCTGAACAAATTGACTGGTGCTAAGCCTCTTGTTTACCCACTCAGCACACTTACATATGAACGCCTGGGTGGATGGAGAATTTGAAGCTGGGGTAAACAGTGTATGGGCGTAGGAAACCAAGGGCTGAAGGCACTCTGCGCACACTCTGAGTGGGAGAAAGCGCAGGACTGAGCAGGAGAGTGAGACATAGGCTGTGTTCTGGGGTGGCAGGTAGAAGTTTGGGCAAATAGAGAAGGAGACATTCCGGAAGAGGTTGCGGAGGAATAGCATGTGCTGGTTTAGGGGTACAGGGTGGGGCAGTGAGAAGACTCATAGGAGGGAAGCAGAGGGGAAATACTGGTGGAGATGGGGCGTCTTTGAAGGCCCACTTGGATACCAATGACACACAGTGTCCAGAAGATACCCCTCGCTGTCATGTGGGTAGGAGAAACAATGTTAAGAAGGGAACTGTTAATACGCTGGGATTAGAGTTGTGCTTATAAAATGTATTGAGGAGAGGGGAAAACTGGGAAGGCAGGGGGTGCAAAATCACCTCTGGCTGTGGGGACATGCATGCCTCCAGGATCAGGTAATAGACAGTAAAGTACAGGATGGCATGACGTTATAGAGGGTTATAGCTAACAACTCGGGCTAGGAAGGAGCTTGACAACTGTTCAATGATCATGAAAATATGTGAAGTTAGAAGCAAGAAGAAGGCCCTCTCGAGGGTCAGTCCTGAGACAGCAGGGATACAAACTGAAGGTTATTGTCATCTCCCTACTTAGGGCTCCACTCCCAACCCCCTCAGAAAGAAGAGAAACAAGCACAGAAAACCAGAAGGAGAAATCAGAGAGGTAGGACAAGTGGAATTTGTGCCCCGGAATCTTAGGGAGAGTGTGGAAACATTTGATGGTATCAGATGCCACAGAAACCACATGGTGGTCAGAAATGGGGAAGATACGGCAACGTGAGAGTCTATAGTGTTTATTGTCGGGGAGAGGGTACACAGGTGCCATCCTTATGACAAAATACTTACGGACAAGGTGCTCCCACACTCAACTGAACTTATATAACTTCATGACAGACAAGGATGGATTTCTCAAGAGCTAAATACAGACGCACCCACAGGTGCTGCAGGGAGGCAGAAACAAGCTTACAGCTCCACTTGATCTTCAAGCATCAACACCTGAGTGTTTGACCTGAGATTGTATGGGTCTTGGGGCGATTCAGATTTTAGGAAACTAATACAAAGTTTACATTTCCTTTGAAAAAAGCTTTCGGGTCTTTCCCTCTGTTTGCATAGATTTAAGAGTTGTGTCACCATTATCTTTCAAACCGTAAGAGTCATTAAGTGATCTTGTAAAAGTATAACCAATGGCTGAAAATGTTTGGGTTGACTACTCATTTTCGTGTGCATTTGAATGTTTGGGGCTTTTGAGCTTGCTCAGTCCCGCGCTGTGTGCTAGGATACAGAGAGTTGCTCTCAGCCTGATCGATCTCAGCCTAATGTAGTAGGTTAAGAAAATCTCAAATCAAGGCTGAGTCTGGAAAAAGAGCATCTCCATGCTGAATGGAACTTCATGGCTCTCAGCTGTCTTTGTCAAGAGACTGACCTTGTCTTTTTCATGAAACTATGGATGGTGTATTTACTTGAGGACCAATAAGAGGTAACATTTTGGGAAGATACACTACAAGAGACTACTACCACAGGAGACCCAACCTGATGTGCCTTCCATCAAGGTCTGGCCCACAGTGTTTATAAGGATTTTTTCTCAGCTCTAAGTAAATTAGAAGGCAGAATTTAGTTGATCTTCTTAAAAAACACTAGTAAAGTCCTAGGGATTGTCACTCTGACATTTGCTGTTTCTCTAAAGCTTCAAGGTGCTCAGTCATGTAGTCTGTGTAGAATAGATGACGAGTCTTAGTCGTCATCAAATTCATTTCTTACAGATTTGGAGTTTACCCAAGGTGTTTTCTTTAAGGAGTCATCAGAATCAGATGTGGAATCGTGAGATTTTACTAATGACCCAATCCAAGGCTTCTGTGTGTTTTCAAAGAGCATTCAGAGCAATGAGTCTTCACAGTCTACCCAACAGAGGTCTTCATCATGGTTTTCTTGTTGACTCAAAAGCTTCCCTAGCATTGACAAAAAGAGTCTTGATGGTGTTACAGCAGCATAGAGTTGGGAGCTTTTCCTGTTCAGGGAAACAGTCCACCCTGAGATGTCATTGAATGTTTAACACAGCAAAGGATGCTGTAGCTATCCATACCACGTAAGGTAATGGAGTGAAGTTCTAGTATGGGGCCAGGCCAGTGTCCACTTCTTGATAACCACAGGCTTTCTTCGATTCTTAAAGATATGAACATCTGTATGCCATTGGTTTTGAATGAGGGGGTAAAAGATTAAGTGGCTCAGACACAGCTTCTTGGATCTAGGCCATGTGGGGTAAGATATACATACAAATTCACCGACATACAGCCAAATGACATACATGGGACGGGTTCATCGCAGTGGTCGGCATGGAAGCTTCTGAAGCCACTCTCACCCCATTAGCAAGCCCACTAGAAGCAATGTCCACTGTATGTAAGAGTGGGTTCTGTAGCACGGGACTAGTGCGCTATTTCCCTCTCATTCCTTCTCAGGATGTTAGGAAATCTTGGATCTTGCAGTTTCTGGAACAATCTGATTACTTGAATTTAATATTTCAAAACCAAAATATTATTTAAATATGGATTAAACAACTTAAAGCACATTGTTTTGGATAAACTTAGTAGGCTCACCTAGGTACATTCATCCAGGAAGTTTAGGGCAAAATTTATCTCAGCCATGCCCTGGCATGTTTTGTTCCATGTCAGCCACTAGGGGAGGACCACAGTGGAATTTCAGAGTAACTGCTCCTCCAAGGGACGTGACAACTAGTTTTGCTTAGTTTAGGTACATGTTATTATTAAAACCATTTGGAGGACTGGAGATGCAGATAAATTGCCTAGCATTTGCAAGGGTCAGAGTTTAATACCAAGCCCAACAAACAATAACAAAACTAAAGCAAAGAAATCAAGCCCCTGTTTGCTCAGTCACTTTTCAGCACCCCAGATTCTCTCATGTCGGGGTAATTTCCTTTATAGGGCTCACCTTGCTGCACTTTGCTTGACTAATTCCTTGGCAAGCTGCTGGACAAGGGCATTTTACGTTTTATTTTCTTGCACTAGTCTAGCATTCAAAATGACTAAGTCTCCCTGTAAGTCAACTCTTGGGAAAACAATGGGTCAATAGAAATTTCCCTGTTAACACTTAAAAGAACATAAAACCCAGTAATCTATCAGGAGAATTGGAAGCATAAAAAAGAAATACATTCATGCATATTCTTGATCAGTGTGCGCTGTATACAGAGCCCTATTAGTAGAAAATTCTCCAAATGGAACATGCTTGTATGATGAATTCTCTTCCAGCTACAATGGCTCCATGAATCGACTTTTCTATTCCATTCGATCTACTTTTTTTATGTACTTACACACATAAAAATGCCAGAAAGAAAAGTGAGCAAAAATGAAGCTGTCGTGAGGCTGATTATGAGCCATACGGTTGTCAGTGAGTCACAGACCGAGTGTCCGCAGCCAGCAACACAAGGGCGGCCTCCCCACAGCTGTTATTTGCGCTCTAGTAATTGCCGGTTCCCAGGATGCACCGAGTGACCAGCAATGACTGCGATGGAGAGATGGTGAAGTAAGGCAGGGCTATGGAGCACAACCCAGAGGTGGAACAAGCGCACGTCTGCACAAATAACAACTCCAGTCTAAACTGTTTCAAGTAGCATGTCCAACTGGAACAAGATTTCAAAAAGGGCGGGAAAAAAATAAAAACCACTCATGAAAAAGAATCGGTGTAACTTGGAGATTGCCAAAGGTTTATTTGGAACGACACAGCACTGAGAAACAAAACGGTTACAGATGGTTTGTGATACAGCACATATCACCTCTTTCACTTGAGAATGCTCCGTGAAGATGGGCTGCATAAAGATAGCGTGGAAGTTACATAGGAGCTTTTGGAAATAGGTCCTTTTGCCCCCTCATCCATCCAATTGCATAAAGGCAGAAGTGAAGACTGCGTCATTGCTGGCCCAGATCTGATTTTTATCGGATGGGCCCCAGCAGCTGAGCGGCTACACCACCACACCCTGCTCTCTCCAAAGGGGGCAGCAGCATGGGCGTGCTACCTGGCATCTCACCCTGAAAACGGCACACAACACACACAGACACTGTCAACTGTTTTGGCAATGGGATGAGTGGTTTTGCCCTGAGGCAAAACTGCAGCTGTAATGCCAGACGGAGTAAGAGCAATGCGCGTATCAATGACACTTACAGGCGAAGAGCTACGGTGGGAGGGGAAGGGATGGGCTATGCATATGTAGCCAACTGCATACACATAGGTCCAGCAGGCATGGGAATTAGCTTGTGGGACTGTCTGTCCATACGTATGTATATAGAGGTGATCGGAAAAGACTGTGAAGAACGTTTGCAGCCTGTTTGAGTTTTAAACGCAGTAAACTTGAAAGGGAAAGCGAGCCTGTGCTCACACTGGGCAAGGGGGGGACGATGGTGTCTCACTACGGGATAACTCATTACATCTGCAGGGCAGCCACTCGACATCACACACCTGACGCAAAGAACTCGGAGTCCGGTCTGGAAAAAGCTACTTTAGACTTGGAGGAGGGGAATCAAGTTACCAGTGTCCACAGTTAGACGAAGCACACACAGACCACTATTGAACACAGGGAACAAAGGAAGGACTTGTTCCTTAGTTTGCTATTTTCCCCTCTTCTTAAGGTTTTTGCATACATGCTCTATGGATCTGTCTTCCCAAGCCTCATCTGGCACCAGACTGTCACTCACTATGAGGGTAGTAGCAAGAGTGAACTCCTCCGCATCTCATGAAGGTTTAACAACCTAGTCATGCGACTCTTGAGACATCTGCAGCCCTACTCCAGACGCCGGGTGAAGTTCTCTGGAAAGAGGCCTTTGTAAGTGGCCAGGTCTCTGTATTGAAGCCAGTCTGACTCCTTCACCCCCACCAACCAGCCTGCATCCTGCAAGACAAGAACAGGGTTTCAGAGCACAGAAAATTCTGGAGCACAGTCATAGTGCCAAGATCTTTCATAATAACCCATTCTGCTAGTACTGCCATCTCAGGACACAACACTTCCATAAAACACTGTAGAATCTACAAGTCGATAAAAATAATGAAAAAAGAATTTGTTATATATTATCGTGCATAGTTAAATTAAGGTTAATTTTAACATGCTAATTTCTTATAGAGGATACTTAGCTAACATTCACTGAGTTAGAAGTTGTTAAGCAAAAGGGATTTCACATGAAAACATGGTATTCAAGGAACACAACCAGTTGTCTTGTGCTTCATAGTGGACGAGGATTGAGGAAACAACCCTTGGTGCCAAGCAGAGTCAAACATTTTAAAGTTGTTAGGTTAGAATATAATGCTGACGTGGCCACCAAATGTCTGGTGTTGCATCCTGAGCCACTTTCTTACAGGAAAGAATTGTCCCGTGGCTCATACCACGTAGCCCCAACAAAGCCCCATATACAGGACTCATGGCTACTGGATGCTGTACCAGTGCTGCTGCTGCTGCTGCTGCTGCTGCTGCTGCTTCTGCTGCCTGATGTTGTTTCACATCCACATGAGTTACAGAGAAATTTGATGTTGTGGTATTCTTGCTGGAGATACGCGTTCTTTCTAAATGAACTCTGTTTCTCTGATCGGTGCCATAGGAAAGTTGGAGAATTCATGCTTAGGTGGCCAATGACAGAATGGGAGACAATTGCACTAACTGGCAATTGCAAGCTGCTCTCTGTCCTTGGCCTCCAGAGGAAAAGGGACAGGGAAGGATACATACTATGTGGACAGGAGTGGGAAGCGGCTATCTTTATTATGTTAACCAAGGCAGGAAAGAGAGCCCACTTACAATGAGGGATGGCCAGATTTAATCCGAAGCCATCCTCCACGAAGTGCAAGAACATCTGATAAAAAGAGGTCTCAAAAATTAAATAGACCACTGGATATATTCCCTTTGATATCATCTGAGACGATAAAGTGATGCTTCCAGATAGACGAGAAATATAAGCACTTAGACAGACCAATTTTTGAAGAGAGAAAATAAACCCACAAAAATAACAGAGGAAAAAAAATGTCCCAATAAACTGACCGATAACACTCTCATTGATGAGGAACGGTGCCCTCTTCAAAATTATGATGTCACATATGTGAAGGACAAAGTTATATCTAACGTAAGAGATGATAACTAAGCATTTCTCAAGCCTCAGTATGCATATGAAAGGGAAGGTCCCCTCCCACACGTCTATATTGAATTTTATTTACAGTGAGTCGTAACCTAATGAGGCCAAATAGAGCTGGGCATTTTTAAATTGTTTCATTAGAGAACAAAAAGATAAGCGACACCCACAAACCTGTAATGAAGATGTATTCTAACACATCACTCAGAAATATAGCTACAACTGTAACATAAAGGGTATTAGGCAGTATAAATCTTTAGCTGAGGAAAATTAAATTTTAACTGCAGAAAATATATGGTAAAGAAGAATTTCCAGTTTTGGCTATGGTGGAACAGCTTGTATTGGATAAATGCTTTTGCATAGAGTAAGCATTCAGGTGCATATGCATATGGCGTGTGCCTATATGAATCTATACATAGCCAAATGCTTGTTATAAAATATAATTATGAAATATAAGAGGCTTATATAGAGAGAATTGGGTATAAATCATGTGCGGAGCTAGCTGACGATACCAGGAGTGACAAAAAGCAAGCAGAGAATGGAGATCATTTAACCCCTGGACGTAGGGAATCATTGTGGGTGAAGACAGGCTAATACAAGCTCTCTCCAAGGACTGGCCTCTTTCTACATACTGCAGGGTTATAGAATTTAAGGTCACAAGAGCAGCTTTCTACTAATGGGCAGGGAAACTCTTGGAGGAAGGAAGTCCCCAAGTACTCAGAGACATTTTCCTTAAATCCTGGGTTACATCTATAAATGAGATGTCAAGAACTAGGAAACAAACAATAGCAAAATGGTTGAGCACTGCAAAGAGAGTCTTAGCACTATCAAGAAAGGGAGAATTTGGTGTTAATATCCTGAGTAAGGCTGGAGACTTGGCTCAGTGGTTAAGAGTGTGAACACTTGCATGCACCAGAGTTCAATTCCAACCATTTGAGTTGGTTCTTAGCACCCACATCAGATAGCTGAGAATCACCTATAACTCTAGTGTAGGGCATCTAACACCCAGCTTACCTAAGCACCTTCCTCATATGCACAGATCCGCACACAGTCACATGTGCACACATAAAGTTTACAACAAAAATAAGTCAAGAAATACTGATTACCAAGTCATGAGAATGGATAAAATACTACACTAGAGCTTCCTATAGATAACTACCCTAAAACTACCTTATGGTTGAGAGGTAGGAATATTGTCTTAGGGCTAAGAATTTATAAAAAGCCTATCTATCATTACTCTAAGAAAATACAAAACCGTCTTCAACAATTTAGGTTAATAAGTTAGTAATTAAAGTGACTACTGAAACAAAAAAAAAATAGCCTGCAGGTATAGAAAACAAAACCCAGCCCTCTACAATGTACTATACTCTTAATGTGTCTAATGTCAATAAAAATGTTACCAGATGCAAGGTCAAAATCAGGAAAACATGCCCCACAGATAAAGGCAATGGGTAGATGTATGTTCTGGTGGTATACAATTTTTGAATTATCAGTTAGAAATGCAAACAAATTATAAATTTGTTTAAGGATCTAAGCTGGAAGACAGTGATTTTGAGACAGTATGTGGGAAATCTTAACAAGGAAATGGAAACTAGATTAAAGGACCAGGAAGAAATCACAGAACTGTGCAGTGTGATGCTGGAATTGGGATAGCCACTGCGTAAACTTCACAAACACAGAGCAGCAAAAGATATTCTTATAAAGCCCCCAATCTGATTGCCATAGTGGAATGTAGATTGGTTAAAAGAGAACAGACTCTTAGGTATCAGCCTTGAACATACTATAATTAGGAACTCAGAAACAGAGAAGAAAAAGAAGGGGGTAGGGAAAATTAAAGAAATAGTACCTGATAGTTTCCCATATAATAGAAAATAAAATGCCATGAGTCAAAGAAGCAAACTGAATTCCAAGTATGAAAACACACATGCACACACACACACACACACACACACACACACCACTCTAGCATATGATAGTCAAACTCATCAGTTTGACCACGAATACCAAAAAATTTTCTGTTACACTGTTTATAGATAAGTCATACTAACCAAACAACAGCCAAGCTCTAATTATTAACAGTGAAGACCACAAAGCAACATGTTAAAGAGCTGAGACCAAAAAAAAAAAAAAAAAAAAAAAAAAAAAAAAAAAAAAAAGGTCAGCTCCAAGTTCTCTCCCTAGTGAGAAAGCTTTTAAACTGAATAGAAATGAAGACACGTGCAAAGGATTTGCTGTCATCAGGGCAGTGTTACAAGAACTACTAACGAAAAGGAAATTAGCCAGAAAGAAATGAGGATACTCACACTTACAGAAATAGTAAATATACTGAGACTCTTGCTTCTTTAAGAAGATAAATTAGAGTTAGTGCAAAAATAACTAAATTTATATAATTATATATGTATATGTATTATTGGGTGATGGATAATTTCAATTGTCAACTTGATGGGATTAGTGCTCAAGTTATTAATATGACACATTATTTGTTGTGCTCATGAGAACTGTTTTTCCTAAAGAGAAAAGACTTAATGGAGAGTAACCACGTTGTGAGGGGAGCAATCCCATGAACTGGACTGATGGAGGTGGGTCTTGTATCTTATCTGTTGCTTTCATTGGTTAACTAATAAAGAAACTGCCTTGGCCCTCATAGGACAGAAAATTAGGTAGGCGGAGTAGACAGAACAGAATGCTGGGAGAAAGAAGCTGAGTCAGTGAGTCGCCATGATTCTCCTACTGGACACAGACGCAGGTTAAGATCTTCCCTGGTAAGACACCTCGTGGTGTTACAGGAATATTAGAAATGGGTTAGATCAATATGTAAGAGCTAGCCAATAAGAGGCTGGAACTAGCCGGGCCAGGCAGTGTTTAAAAGAATACAGTTTCCGTGTAATTATTTCGGGGCATAAGCCATGCGGGCGGCCGGGTGCCGGGGACGCAGCCCCAGCTGCTCTTCCTTTCAACACTGGACTCCCAGAGTAAGAGAGAGAGAGAGAGAGAGAGAGAGAGAGAGAGAGAGAGAGAGAGAGAGAGAGAGAACTGGATCACCAATGGGATTCTCTTCATTCTGCTTCTTGTTCTGATGGGATACAAGGAGGTTGAGAAAGCCCAGCTCCATATTCTCACCACAATGGAGATGCCTGTTGCTGTGCCTTCTCTGCCACAGCGAATGTTACCTCCTCAAGCCATGACCCCAAATAAGTCAATTACTCCCTTAAGTTGCTTGTTGTCTGACACTTGGTCACAGAGATGAGGAAACTAATATAGGAGATTAGTGCTGGGGGTGGGCTTGTGGCTGTGGCTACCTGGTCATGTGGTTTGTAGACATTTGGAACTGTTTCGTGGAAGAGTTTGGGACCCATGGGCAAAAAGAGAGCTCGAATGCTGTATGAACAGTCTAATGGGCTATTCTGATGGGACTGTGGGAAGTTAGGATGCTGACAGAATGCAGAAGGTGAAAAGAGACTGTGCCCACGGGGTTGCAGTGAGACAGAAGGACTCTACCAGAGACCACTCATGTTTTATTCTGCCAAAGAACAAGGCTGTGTTTTGCCTGTGTCTTGCAGTATGAGTGACATTGAACTAAACATTGAAAATTAATGGGCTAAGCTGTGTGGCAGAGGACATTTCAGGACAGCATAACGTCCAAACTGCAGTCTGGTAAAACCCAAGGTTAATGCATTTACTTAGATTTACAGTTTAACAGAACAGAGAGATATAGAAAATGGGTAGTTTAAGGCAAAGAGCCTAAATCAGTTATGGTTATAAAAATAACTGATAAGGGCCAAAGAACTATAGTTGTTAAAAAGTAGTTGCATGATTAATAGAAAAATCAGAACTTCGTACTGGGAAAGTAGGAAAGCCATACAACTCCAGCCACCAAAAACTCCAACTTGTAAAAATGCAAACTTATTTGAATTATTTCATTTGAAATAGAATAATTGGATAAAGACCACATCCAGGGCATCCTGCTTGAGTAGTACCACACACTGCAGTCGTTCCCCAGGTTCAGCCTTCAAGGGAGAGAGAAGCTACTGTGACTAGGGTCTAAGGAAGTCAGGCTACACCTTGCACTGGCAGCAGAGTCTTGCTTTTCCTGCAGGGTATTCATTATCTTCAAACATCCAATGGACAGATGCTACAGGGTCCTGGAGGTTCATGCCAACATCCCAAGAAGCCACTGAGTCTAACAGTGTGTGGCAGAGTCAGATTTTCTGTTTGGATCTCTAAGAGGGCAATGCACAAAGCTGGGAAGGCAAAGACCACATTGCAATACCCCCTGAGAGATTGGAAAGGCCAGCATTGTCTGCCGACAAAAGTTTCATTCACTTAATAAACATAGTCAAGAGAGAGGACGCAGCATTGAAGAAAGTGCTTGTGGGGACAGCCAAGGCTAGTGGAGCCCAGAAGAGAATATCACAGGCCCAGGTGCCACATCCGGGCATTTGGTGTTGAGTCGGCTGGAATTCTGCCTGACTGTGGCCCAGTATTTCTTTGATCTTCTATTCCTTCCTTCTGGGGATGTTTACACTGTGCTGTTATATGCAATATGGTGGTCTTCCTTCTTCAGGCCTCACTGTCAAGAAACTGTTAAAGTCTCAGTTGAAACACTGAACTTAGACTTGTGAGAAATGTTAGAATGTTCAGACTTTAGGAATGTTGGAGATGAACTAAATGCATTTTTGCATAATGAGGTAAAGGTGTCATGAGTGAAATGTTATCTTTTGCAATAAAGTATTTGTTTATCAAGTTGACAACAGATACACTTGCTATGGTTACTTTCCATTGTCAGCTTTATTAAACGAACAAATGCCTAGCGCACTTCATAAGACACGCCTCAGGACTTTTCTGTGAGTGCTCTCCCAGGGAGGGCTAACTGAAGGGAGAAAACCTGTCCCAGATGTGCAAAGCACTGCCCCATGGGTTGTGATCAAAACTAGTAAAAACGAAAACTGAGAAATGCAGCTAAGTAGTGCTGTGCCCCTTCCTTTGTTCTTCATAAGCCGATTATGAGGCGGTCCACATGCACCTTCCAAACCAGGCTGTCAGCGCTTTCCTGCCCTGGAGGATGAACTGCTGCTCCCAGTGATGGACTATATTCCCTCAAGCAATGAGCCCAAATAAGGCCTTCTTTGTTTGAGTTTCTTCTCCTTAATTTGCTGCTTCTGCCTCCACTCTTTATCATTTTTTCTGATGAATAACCTAGTAATTAGATAATAATTTTATTAATCCTTTCAAGGAAATAATTTAAGATTAGTGATTGTTAATTGTAAGGTTTTCTTTGTTTTGTACTTTTCTGTTTTCTGGGTTATTGTTTCTAAGTGTGTGTGTGTGTGTGTGTGTGTGTGTGTGTGTGTGTGTGTGTGTGTTGAGAATGGATTTTACTATGTAGCTTAGAATAGTCTCTAAGTGGTGAACCTCCCTATCTGCCTCTGCCTCCTGAGTACTGAGATACAGGCATGGGCCACTACGTCTGCGTCTGGTTATTGAGTGCTGTTGGCTGCATTCATTTGTGAATTTATTTTTTATCGTTTTCTTATTTTCATTATATATATATGTATAATTTATTGTTAGTTTATGGATGTTTTGCCTGCCTGCATGCCTATGTGCCTTATGTGGACAATGCCTGCACAGCCTGGAAGAGGGGGCTAGATTCCCAGAGACTGGAGATACAGACAGTTGTGAGCCACCATGTGTTCTAGGAATCAAGTTTGAGTTCTCTGGAAGAAACGCCAGCCCCAGAATGAAATATTTCTCACTTAAGATATTATTTGATAAATTTAATTTTTAGAAATCAGTTTTCCAGTTGGGTGGTGCTGGCGCACGCCTTTAATCCTAGCACTCAGGAGGCAGAGACAGTTGGATCTCTGTGAGTCCCAGGCCAGCCTGGTCTACAAGAGCTAGTTCCAAGACAGGGTCCAAAACTACAGAGAAACCCTGTCTTGAAAAACTGAAAAAAAAATCAGTTTCCATTTTTTCTAATATTTGGAGGTTTTTTTTTTTTTTAATTTCTAACTCTTCCAGAGGCGGAGAATGTAGGTGTTTAGATACCCGCTGATTTATATTGCTAAATCTATTATCAAAAGAAAGAACAAAAGGTTGCCATATAAATGTTAACTTAAAAAGCTTTGATATTTGAACTTTATTTTAGGGAGAAGACTCATAAATACATTTCTTTAAAGAATTTTTAAAATTAGCACGGGAGTCATAGGTCTTCTCTGTAAAAATACATGCTCCTAGGCTCGTTTATACATGCTTTGCATACCATTTCAGGAGTCCCTAAATTGTGACTATGAACAGCCTTGGAGTTCCTGTATCTTATGACCCAATCATTTGGATCAGAGATACGTTTACCAATTGTGGTCTAATTTAAATGCCATGCTGTACAGTGGCAGAGTTGTAAGTTCAATAAGGTATAAAAAGGCTATATAGGCATCACCTCATTGAGATCTGAAACAGTTCGGATTCTCTATAATGTTTCCCCAGGCTCTTTCCATGGGTTACCACCCCATACAAGGAAACCATTTCTGAGAGGGATGTTCAGCATTTCCTGAAACCTGATGTTACCAGTACAGCATCCCTAGCAAGAAATCTTGAGACAAGAAAAGCCCATCTCATCTAATTGTACAGAAAGGAACAGTCAATGGCTTCATAAGAAAGGGATACTGAAAACCAGCTGATGGAGTACTGAGTGAGCAAATTCTTAGGGACTTTTCAGAGTGGGTTCGCAGCATCTTAGAAACAGGGATGATGCAAGAAGCCACTTGTCCAACTGGCCCTCAAAAGACCAATATGGCTGACACACCTTCCAGTCTTACACATTACCTGGTCAGCTTCTGAGTCTGAGGGGACCACGAGCACCACATCACCCCTCTGCAGGTTAAGTTCATCAGAATTAGCTGCCTCAAAATCATGCAGGGTTTCCACCTGCAAAACATTTAAAGGATTGGTTAATTTTGGAAAGAAGCTGCGTGTGGTTGCTCTACCTGCAACCCCAGCACCCAGGAGTCTGAGGCAGGACGGTAGCCATGACTTCAAAGCCATCTGGGGCTAACTAGTGAGCTCTGGACCAGGAAGATCATGGGGTACACAGTGAGACCATGCCTCAAAATAAAGAGAAAGAGTTTAAAAAAAAAGGAAGGAAAGGAAGGGTAATGTCACATTTCCTGATATGATTATACAGACACAGCTAGAAGCATTCTCTAAGTACACAAAGGATGAAGATACATATTGCAATTCTGCTATGGATGGGATATGGTCTTCAGCAGAGCTTTATTTGTGTGTGTGTATGTGTAAGGTTTGGTTCCCAGAGGGGTGGTGAGAGGCACGGGAAACAATAAGATAAGGAATATAGTAGAACATCACGGGGCGATGTTCTCAAGGGAAATAGTGGATCTCTCAAAAGACCCTGGTTACTCTGCAAGATTATGAGAGTATGAGATTTTTTACGCTCCAGTTTCCTGTGTCTATTTCCTCAATACCCTTGCTTCTTAATGACTCACACGAGGCCATTCATGTCTACTTATTAATTCAATGCACTATGTAATAACTGAAAGTACTATATTAAATTTTAACTAGTTAATTTTTGTTAGATATTTTATATATTTAATTATGCTAGATTTGTTATATTTTGTAAGATATTTAATCATCAGTCAGATATATTATAACTGAGGGTTGTTTAAATTGAGCTAAATATGCCAAGCTAAAGAATTGTCTTTTAAAGTATCAAAAAGACAAAAAGACAGGCAAACTACCACTTGAATGTTATCTAAGAATTACGCTTTAATTAAACAAATGGCTTTTTAAAAATAAATTTTCACTCTTTTCTGTCCTAGCACTTTATGCCACAGCAGTCTGTTTTTCCTTTGCACTTTTGCAAACCTTTTTAAAATTTACATCATGGAAAAAAGCAAAAAGACTAACACACTGAATACACATTTCTCACTTGAAGGATTATACAGTCCTGACCAGTTTTATGTCTTCCATATTGGTTCCTTGCAAACACCTGCACACTCAAGACGAAACAGCTTGCTTTTAAAATATGTATTTCATGTGTAGAATACAAATTATTAGAGCTAGAACTGAGTCATCCAAAGTTAATATCTGCAGTGAGAACTGCTGTAGAGCAGGACTGTGATGTGCACCTTGGGTCATGCTATACTGATGGGTTACACTAAAGATGGGTCCCCCATGCTCTAGCCTTACCTGGCACAAATTTTCTTCCTTCACATGTATGGCTTAAAGAAATAAACATGCTTCTAGCCCTAACTTTAACACATATGCTCAAATATTTTGCTGTAAGGTTAATCTATTCATAAATCTATTATACCTGTACCCACTTACATTGGCAAGGTGGTAGTTTCCTTCTAAAGGAAGGACAGAGAATGGATAGAGATATTCAATCCTGATGTGGGAGTGTCATATATCAATCTGTTGATTTCATTGGTTAAGTTATAATAAACCAGCTGCTTGGCCTCATGGCTTGGAACATAGATGGGAGGAGTAAACAGAATAGAATTCTGGGTGGAAGAGGAAGTGAGGTCAGACTCTGCTCTGCTCCCGGAGACTCGACAGCTCTGCTGTGGAGCAGAGACACCATGATGGACGGAGGCTAGACTCTTCCCGGTAAGCGCACCTTGGGGTGCTTACACGCATTATTAGAAATGGGCTAGTCCAGGTGCGAGAATTAGCCTGTAAGAGCTAGAGTTCATGGGCCAAGCAGTTCTTAAATGAATACAGTTTGTGTGTTGTTATTTCGGGCATGAGTTAGCCAAGCGGCCGGGGTGTTGGGGACGCAACCCCACCGCCGCTCATATTTCAACACAATCCCATTCTTATGAACACAATTGTATGTATATATAAAATATATATAAATGTATTATATATAATTAAATATGTGTAATTATATATAGTTGTGTTCATAAAATGGAATATATATATACATATATATGTATATGTATATATATGAAAAATAGGTATCCAGACATGGTGGTCTGTACCTATCACCCATATATCTGGGAGGCTAAAGCAGATGATCACAAAGTTAAAGCCTACCTATACAGTTTAGCAAGACCTCGTATCAAAATGAAAAAGTACAAAGGTATATAGCAAGTAGCTGAGTGCTTGCTTAGCATGTGCTAAGTTCTGAGTTTCCTCTCAGTACCAAAATTAAAACAAGCCAAACAAAAAACAACCAAAAACAAAGGCTGCATTTTGAAATACAGTATCAAATCATACAATGCCTACAATTTCTAATTAAATTTTTCCTTGGGTAATTATCTACCACCAATACTGTAAGTTGGAAGTGGGGTTTCTAGGCATTCACGGTTGTGCTGTTTTGCTTGACTAGTAAGGAGGTAGTTTATGATGGCCTCTGACTTTAAAAGCTTACTTCCCAGAGAAGAAGGCTTGTTTGTTTTGTCCTTTTTACATAAAACCCTTAGTGTCTTTAGGTACTTGTTTTTGGACTATTGGTTGGCCCCTTGATGTGGGATTCCCTTCTGTACGCTATAAATATGCTTTATTACCATTGGTTACTAAAGAAGCCACTTTGGCTTATGGCAGGGAAGAATATAGGTAGGTAAGAAAACTAAACTGAATGCAGGGAGAAAGAAGGCAGAGTCAGGCAGATGCCATGTAGCTGCCAAAGGAGAAAGATGCAGAACCTTAGCGGTAAGCCACAGCCTTGTGGCAATACACAAATGAATAGAAATGGGTTAAGATGTAAGATCTAGCTAGAAATATGCCCGAGCCATTGGCTAAACAGTGTTGTAATTAAAAAAGTTTTGTGTGATTATTCAAGTCTGGGTGGCCAGGAAACAGAACAGCAGCCTCTGATTACCACCCCTTGATCTGCACTTGGATCGGATGACTATTTCCTGCCTGCAACTCCTTAGGAACATACTGGAGCACAGTTGACTTCAAAGGTCTGGTCTGGCCAGCTGGACAGACTCAGCTCCAAAGGAAGCCTCGAAGGCATTTGTCCACCCACAACCTTGGGGTAGGTCATTCACCTTTAAACTATTCTATTTTGATGTACGAAGGGTGTTAATGTATTGCATGCTTGCCCAAAACAAGGACATGCTGCCGTTTTCCCAGGGGAGGTCAGGGTGAAAGGAAAACAGATTTGAGAAAGAATACACAATGCAAATAGCATACTGAGAAACTACAAAGTGGTGCAAAGGGAACTCAAAGAAACGACAATGACCCTGATGTGACAATATAAAGACCTTGTAGAGAAAGCCAGGAGGCATGTCCTGAGCAGCATCCTCTGCAGACACGGAGGAATCCCCAGCACCTCCTGGTGCAGCCATAGCTGCCTGAGAATCCAGAGGCGTGGCCTCTGCAACCAGTTCCTGCGTCTCACCAGCCTGGCCCTGAGTAGCCACATCCTCGGTGGCACCCACGGTGGTTTCATGGTGTTCTCCTTCCCCTTCATGGTTGGAGGCTGGCTCGATGACAACGGAAGGGATGACCTTCTCCTGGTGGACAGAGAATGTGGATATTGTCACAGCCTGGGAGACAACCGGTGTGTTTGCTTAGTATCTTTCCCCAACCATCTACTCTTTCTCTATCCCATTAACCCACAGTTCCAAGCATTAAGTTTGCAGACATTGGGCCTCTGGCCTACATTTGTCCCGACTTTCTCACGGTCTCTCCTGAGTACTAAAGCTTTAATGGGAAGCCTATATAGATCCTTGAGCAGTCACACTGCCTGGAAAATCGATGGAGGGGAGCTTCTATGAGCGATCCAGAGTGGCGGGAGGCCGAAAGAAGAGAGGGTCTGTCCTGAGGAAAATACGAGGGAGGACTCCATGCTACTCTCACACTTTGCCATGACTGTCCGTAATTGTCCAAGTCACAGGACTGGTGATTTGTTGTCTTTGATAGCTGCTGGGGGAAAGGAAGAGCTAGGGCCAACTTTAATCTGATGTGTGTGCTCAATTGACTATTTCCTTAAAAAGTGGGTTGGCTTTGGTGGAAGAAGACTGGTGGGGATTCTGAGATACTCTACTAATAGTAAACACGAAGCACTGGTAATTGTAAGTCATACTGAGTCCCTACCAAGGCTGGAACGGAGCTAAGCCTTCGGGGGTCTTCCTTACTTGCACAGCTTTGCCATTTCAGCACCCTCTTCCTTCCTCTCTCCGCCGAGTTTCCTCATCAGCTGTACCTCATTTCTCCCCTCTATCGTGACTGCAGCTTCCCTTCCCCCCTTCTGGGCTTCAGTCCTCAGGAGCAGAAGTCCGTTCCACACAGAGAGAGCTACCACCCAGGCCAGCAGACAAGAGCCCACTAAACATCCCTCTCCGCAGAAGTCCCTCAGGAAACCCTTACCTGGGGAGCAGCCACTTCAGTCTCTGCTGGTGGAGGGCTCTCGCTGCTTGTAACCTCATTGCTCTCAGCATCGACTTTGGTTCCGTCAAGACTTTCTCCTTCTGCAGCAGGGAGTGCCGCCTTCTCTGCCTCGGCTTCCTCCACCGGGACCCCATCAGTGGGCACTGTAGTTCCCACAGTCTCGTCGGCATCAGTTCCCGGAGGAATCTATAAAGTAGAGAGCAGTTACTATGCCTGTGTCTCCAGAGTCTCTGCAAGGCCTCAGCACCACTCCAGCGTGCTTCCCCTATTAAGGCCATCAGCACTGAGCTGCTTGCATGGACAGAATCCCAGGAGTCAGGGGCAGCAGAAGCTTCTGTGATCAGAGCTCACTTTTCGCAGAGCATCCAATGATATGGATTCTGCATCCCTTGGCTTCACCCTCAATCAGGTATAATGGATGGCATTGGAAGAGGTGACATATGCCATTCTTTAGAGACTGGTAGCAAACAGTGGATGGATCTCGCTCTACAGACTTTTTTTTTTTTTTTGACGAAAGCAGGTATCAGTGGATTAAGCTTTAGGGAATCCCTGTGTTATAACACTGAAGGGACCTGGGTTTCTGTCCCTTATGGCACATGGAGGAGGACCACAGCAGGATGGCGTACCATCACACACTGAGAATCAGAATGGCTGCCCTCCACATCTGCAGGCCTTCTCCATGTTCAGGGAAAAGGAACGATGGTGGGTTTTTTCCAAAAGAATGTTAAGAAGATAATGGGAAAGTTTTGAAATCGAATATACATCAGCAATGTACAAATATCCATGGAGCTATCTGCTGACTAAAAAAAATGTAACAATCATATTTGGGGTCTTTACTAAACCCAAAAAAGTTTTCAGTAGTATGTAAAACATGAGATGTTGAAATAGAAGTACTACCACAGGTTTTAAATTTGGACAAATTGGTTTAATGTCTAACCCTTTAAGAGGGTTCTAATAATCTGTATGGCAGACCGATTTGACAAGGTAGAATAAAAAAGACTATCAAGAAATAACTTTCCAACTGATTCTATACAGTATACCCAGGACACATTTTCCAAACACTGATGTTGCTCTCTGATGGGTCAGCGTCAGCTAGTGCTCTCCCTTACTGGATTAGTTCTGCGTTGTTCTCAGTATTGTTAGCGAAGCCATACTCTTGCAAGCATTAGCTCTCCAACACGACATCTGAAGTGGGTGATGGAGAACAGCTCTCAGCAGGCACATAAATGGGGTATGGGAATGTGACCTCACACAGGCACTCAACATGACATTCTCCAAGAACTCACTTCAGCCCCAAAGTCATACCTACCATATTACTTAAAATAATCTTCAATGAAGGACTTTCTCTAAATATCATAATTTTACTTTGGGCATAAAAGAGAGCTTATCATTTGATACATAGTCAAAGAAATTTATGTTTCATATGAGAATCTCCTATTATGAGAATTTGGTTCTTCACAGAAAATGGATAATGGTGCAAACACAGTCACTTGTCCTTAATTCTTTTATTTTTACTCCGTCATTAAAGTACATGGATTCAGAAAAGTGGCCCTGTTGTGTGAACCGTAGCTGATACTTAATTGAAATGAACTTGAAATGCTGGTAAATATTGAAATGAGTTCAAAGTTATATGAAGATTTGTGTTTTGGTGAAGGACTGAAAATTCCAACAAAAATAAATTAAAATGTGAGAGAATTAGCATCTCTCATTTTAAGCAAACAATGATCTTTTTATAAATGTTATCGTCACTGTTGTCAAAAGAAGTATAATTAGCAATAACTTATGGAGGTGTCTTAATTCCAAGAAGAATAACAAGCAATTGTTCAATGATTTTTTTTTTTTTGTTCATGAAACAAACAGTTTTAGGTTGGGATAGAGCTCGGTGGTACAGTGCTTCCAGCTGAGGCTTTTGTTTCAACTCCAGGTATTGTAAGAAAAAGAAAAGAAAAGAAGGATGGGATGGAGAAAGAGAGAAAGAAAGGGAGACAGGGAGGGAAGGGGTAGATTTTCACTGGAGGTACTAAAGGCCCAACAAGTTTTCTTCCATACTGAGAACTATGGATACGAAGAACATGAATATGGTTGCACTCGGCTCAAGTGCAGAAGGCAAACTATTTAGTTATTTTTTTTTTTGTTATTTTTGCTTTCCATGTATCTGGACAAGAGTCACACCTATGAACAACACAACGATTTCAAGAGCTTTGATCAAGATGGACTCTATCTACATCCAGGCAAAATGGCAAACCAGCCTACACACACAAACACATGCATACACACACACTATCGGTGAAAAAAGCATCCTTTGCTATTTTATAACATGTACCTCCTCGTATGTAAATTCATCTATGTATGTATGTTCTGAGCAGCACATATCATTTGTAATTGGTACTATCTTAAGTGAATTAATTAATGTTGCTGTTTTAGAAGAAAATATGTTACTTTTCTATGGCATATTGTTGATATTACCAAGGGTAAACTTGTGGGTTTTTTTTAAAAAGAATTATTTTATTTTATTTACTTCTGTGTATGTGTGACTGTGTCTTTATGTGCACATAAACTCAGGCTTCTGTGGAGGCCAGAAAAGGGCATCAGGTTTCCTGGAGCTGGAATTACAGGTGAACATGAGGAACCCAAGAAGGTGATAGAAACTGAAATGAGTCCCCTGGAGAAACAGCAAGCACTCTTAACCACTTAGTCATCTCTCCAGCAACACCAAAGGTAATTTTAAAACTCACTTGATGCTAACAGAATCATAAGCTTACAAAAGTGATTGTTTTCTGTGTGTCTGTCTGTGACTGTATCCTATTTTACTGCCACAAGATAAACATATCATAGCGTTTTTTGGCTAAGTAATTTGAGCAGGCATTGTGGACGGAATCTACTTGTTCTGACTACAATCATTGCTGTGGCAACAGCTACCAGCAGGGGGAGACCAGGGACTGTTGTGTGTTGCCTGATCCTCAGAAGTAAGGACCCCAGCTTCAGGAACTCAGAGATTCATTTCATCTCTGCCACATGAAGGGAACTTAACAAGTAGGAAAGGGCTGATAAAAAGGTGGCAAATAACATCACTCAAGCACTGGGATGAACAATGCTGGGAAAAGGTGCTAAGGAAACTAGCAATTTCACTCCTGAGGATAAAGACATTCAGAATGACCCATTTATTCACGCTTGTATGATCCATGTTGAGAGTCAATTGCAACACATCTTCATAATTTTTTTTTCAGGGTACTTGTGGAGATTTGATATTGCTATGTTTTTGACAATGTCTTTTGCTCTCTTCATAATGGTCAGTTTCTGGCTTGGAGCAGATGCTACAATGTCTGTGGAAGTTCTGTGCTGTTCTAGTAACTTCTGACCTTGTTTTGCGAAGGGTAAGTCTAAAGCAGGACTCACTGGTATTTGCTTGCAGAGCTTTTTAAGCTTTGAATTAAAAATTTAACAAATGTACGTGGTCTTGTCATTAGCTTGTCCATGTGTGTGATGTTTTATTAGTATAAATTTGTTGTGCATAGTGATGGGTTTCATAGACATTTCCATTCAGGTATAATATTACTTGGACAGTATTTGCATATTTGCTTCCTAGTCTCCCCCGTTTCCTTTATTCCACTTTCTTTTCCCAAGTAGCCTTATTTTTATTGTATGTCTATAAATGACTGTATTTGTTTCACAAATGAACACATATACAAATGACTATATTTATAGCACAAATCATTACATACACACACACGAGAAAATGTAGTCTCTCTCTCTTCCTGGTTGTGATTTCTTGTGATCTACCCCCAAGGATTCTTTCAATTAGAAAATTTCAATCCAACGTAACAAGCTTCTCCCTCAGTCTGTAAATCTGTCCAGCATTGAGTATCAGCAATGGTCCAGGAGCTGGATTTTTCCTTTTGATCTTCCAATCCAATCTTCTTACCTTTGCTGTGCTTTTCCTCTGTGCTGGGAGATCCCTGCTCCTCCCATTACCCATTTGCCTACACAGTTGTCTCTGGTCTTTCCCACTTATTACTCAAATCTTAGCTCTAATATGCCATTTCCTTTTCCCAAAATCCATTCTTACTCCCCTTTCCTTTGGCTTGCATTGACGCTTTTTTCTCTCATCAATATCATCTTGGATTTCACTTAGAGAAGACAGTTAAAAGTTTTCTTCCCATATTTTGAATAATATTTTTTTGCAGCCAGATAAAATGAGGTTTTATCTAGTAAGCAATCCATTCATTCTTTTGCATGGTTTATGTGCCCTCTGCTGCTTTCAAACTATTTCTATTAGGTAATGTCTCAGCAGTTCCTGTATGTTAGAAACATTTCCTTTCTTCCACTTTTCATCCCATCTAGGGACATTCAGATGCCCCTTTGAGGTGAACAGCCAGGAGAGATTGTCTTGTTGAGATTTTTATTTTGTCAGCTTGACACAATCCAGGCTTATCTAGAAAGAAGCCACTTCAATTGTGAAAATGTTTCCATCAGATTGGTCCGCAGGCAAGCCTGTGAGGCATTTTCTTGATTAATGACAGATGTAAGAGTGCCTAGCCCACTCTACATGGTGGTTCTAGGTTATATAAGAAATCAGGCTGAGCAAGGAATGGGAAGAAGCAGGTCAGTAACAGTATTTCTCTGTGCCCTCTGTTTTAGTTCCTGCCTCCATGTTTTTGTCCCCATTGAGTTCTGCCTTGGCTTCCCTCGATGATCAACTGTGATTGGGATGCTTAATCCAAATGAAGAACCCTTTCCTCCCCAGGTTGTTTTTGTTGTGGTGTATATCACAGCAGTAGTGAATTATCAAATTAGTGATTTATCAAGCTGTAGCGTACAATCACCTACTTCGAATCTCCCAAATGTGTGTCAAAGGTGTGCAAGCATGATCCCATGGCACACTGCCAAGGTGGAAAGGCACTACCATACACATTCATCAACCGCCTTGTAGGCTTGGCTATGACTTCTATTACCTCTATACTTTCGCTTAAAGAATATCCTCCTATCTAGAGCTGAAATTTCTAGAATTTAGCACTATAGAAACTTTAATACTTTTTGTTAAAATTCTCTTTCATCATTAATGTGGAGGACTACAAGAGAAGAACTGATAAAAAGTTAATTTTATTTTTTGTAACTTTTTAGCGTTTTCAGTTTTCTCATTCATTCTTAACGTATGCGGTTATTTTATTTATAGTACTTCTGGCATAAATAATAAGTGAATACTATAAGAAGTATATATTACATACTTTGGATAAAAGGCACATTTTGATAATTGCAGGGCATTTTATACTGGAGTCAGAATTTGGCAATATGTCTACATATTGCTTTATAAAGACAATTGGCTGGAAGATCACTGAGCTCTATCTAGGCTTTCCAGTTCATCCTGATTCTAAATAATAATAATTCTGATGCACAGATGGGCTTCTCTTGTCAATTTATTTTTACATGTCCATCCTGGGTAAGAAACTTGCATTATTGTGAATCTAAAAGTCTCTGCATACCATCACGGAAGTTTATGCTCATTGCATATTATTCTCTTAACATCTCTATTATAGCTTTCCCCCATTATTCCTAGAAGTTAACTAAGATCTAAAGAGCAAAAGTAACCTGCTCAACCAGTAAACAAAGTTTGGAATGATCTGACCAAATTCTGTGTTTGTGTCATACTAATCTGTACCCGAGAATATAAACAGCGAAATTAGGGAGTTGTGTAGCAGTCCATGTATTTTCTTCCAAAAAAAGTTCTAAGATTTTTCCTTCCCCATTTCCATCTCACTCAGCTTTCAGGCTGCTACCCTAATCTTTCCTGCAGTCCCATCGGAAGCCCTAAGCATCTGGCTTATAGTCCAACTCAATCAAATGCAGCACTGTTGCCATGGGAAACAGTTATTAAAATTAGCTTCACATCTTCTTTGAAAATCATCTTTGGCAGAGATGCCAAAGTTAATGAATTTTTGTTGCTGTTAATTTGGCTTTAAGCACAGGGCACTGTATCTCATAATGATACCCTTTAGCATTAAAAGTTTCAATTAGTGATCTATTTGCAAAATGACTAGAAAAAGGTGCAGCTTTTAAAGCCAAGGTAAATATTGTACACTGACTGTGCTTGCTCAGAAATGTGAGCATGAGCAAGCAGTGGTTGGAAAGCAATCATAACAGGCTTCTTCCATGGGGCTTGCAAAGTCTGTAAGAGGCTTTTACCTAATTCTATTTATCAGTGTTTGGTTTTGAATCCTGAACTTCAGTCATGGAAGAGGGAAAAAGCACCATGAGAGTGAATCATAACTCCAGCCCTGAGAAGGTTTTTAAAAAGATGTTTTTGCAAGTTGGGCAAGTGCCTGCAATCTCAGCATTTAGAGGGCTGAGGCAGGAGGACAGCTTGGGCTACATAAGTAAGTGACAAGCCAACCTACACACTAAGATTCTGACTCTAAACATTGTCAACAAAAGAAGAACAGCAGAATGCCTTTTGTGTGGGCCTAGGATCAGTATGACAGAATTGAAGGAAAGGTGCCAGGCACTGCCTGAGACTAAATGAAGACTGGGCTGAAAATCACTTGAATATTTTCATGTTCTATGGGCAAATATCCCAGCCCTGACCATGTACATGTCTTAGAGTAGCCTAAGGCTTGACAGATGGCAGTGTGTGACCTGAAACTGGAGGAGAAAGCAGCAGAGCATCACACTGAGAAGACCCACTGGCAGCCCACTGACCTCATGGCTTTGGAACAGCAGTGGCATCAAGGAGTGAACTACCCCATGCCCATATCTCACCTCACTTGCCTACTAAACGCAGGTGGAAAACAGCCGTAAGCAAGATTTCCTCACCACACTGCAGGGATTTGAAAGTTTCTACATTTTAAAGCTTTTGGTTGTAGATTTTTAAAAGCAGAAGAACTTTAAGTTTATCAGGGAGAAATGAGAAACAGATGCAGAGGGTAACGTGATTTCCTCATCACCAGCTTTCTAGAGCTAAAGAGCTCGTTCTGTGCATTCCCATCTTAGGGCATTGCTGCCACATGCCCTTGGACAACTGCTTTACAGCCAGAGGAATGGATGAAGACATATACTGCCTTTGGGAAGCTCAAGATTGAGGCTGAACAAGAGCTGCTGTTTCGTTCTGATTTTTCAGCTACACCCCAGGGACATCTCTTAAGTCTAAGAACTAACTGTGGAAAGTCCTGATATTATCAGAGATTTAAGCCTACCTGCAACCCTAATGTTCTTCACTGAAGCTATTCATTAAAAAAGGATGGAGGCCATCACATAAAAACACAAGTAGAAGGAAAAAAAAATACCAAGGAGTCTCATTCATAGACAAAGAACTATAGGTAACTGGCGACAGCTGAGAGAAAGAGAAAATACCTCTCGCTGGGATGATTCCTTTGGTTTCCTGATATAAAGTGGTCAGACTTGAAATCATATACACACAAACAAAAATGGACCAGCGTGTTGTATTTATGTAATTGTGTATATGCTTATGTAAATTATAATTAAAGAAAAGAGGCTACCCATTTGAGGGGCGACATGGGAAAGTCTGGAGGAAGGGGACATAGGAAGGACTGAAGGAAGGAAAGGGAAAAGGCTAAGTGATGTAATTATATTTTAATCAAAATGTATTAAAAACCTGCTTGCAGAAGTATAAAAATTGGATGAGTGAGAGAGTGGGTGATCTCGACAACCTGAGAGGGGATTACAGAGAACCTGCATCAGCGCTTGGTATTAGAGTGTTGGATTCTTTCCTTCATGTCTCCACCCCATTGTTCAATGTCATGGGCTTTGTGGAATTAAGCTTTGTTCTGGAACCTGGGACCAATGCAGTACACAGGCACAGATGGAGAAGAAACCATCTGACATTCAAAGTGGGAATTTGATGAGCACTTTTCAGAATCAAATGATTTCTTCAAAATCCAAATCGTCATCGTTCTACCTTCCTGGTATTGGTCACATTCATCTCAAAAATCAATGATTTCTTTAACAGTGATCCAGAATTCAGTTGTACTTTTCCTTGTCCTGTGTTTATGTGAGCAAATGTATGTGTGGATGCATGCAGTGGTCAAGAATTGAGTTGCATTTTCCCCTCTATGTTGAAGTGTGCAAGTGTATGTGTGGATACATGCAGTGGTCAAGAATTCAGTTATATTTTATCTTGTATTATGTTTATGTGTGCGAGTGTATGTGTGGATACATGTAGTGGTCAAGAATTGAGTTGCATTTTCCCCTCTGTTGAAGTGTGCGAGTGTATGTTTGGATACATGTAGTGGTCAAGTATTCAGTTATATTTTTCCCAGGCAGGTTCCAAGGATGGATGGATGGATGGATGGATGGATGGATGGATGGAGAGTCTAGCCAGTCAGTGAGCACAATGGTCAGTAAGTGCTCATGTATCAAAAGCCAAAATGGAGAGCTATAGAAAATACCTGATGTCTGAATTCTCCACACATACATGGACACATGCAACCACACATACACTCACACGCATAAACATAGAGGCAGGTTTTGGAGAGCCACATCTATGGCTACATGGAAGTTTCCCTAATCCATTAGATCAGTTCTTTGGTATAATCTCAATAATAATAATTATTATTATCATATTATATATTTATGATGATGATGATGTCAGGGAATTGAGTTTTTACTATGAAAGTAAAAAAAAAAAAAAGAAGGCTCTTTTATCCTGGGAACCATGGCAGACAAGGGGGTCCTTTATCCTAGCTGAAGCCAGGACAGGAAGTGGTACAAAGGATCATGGGAGAAGGTGGAAAGAAGCAGCATAGTGGATGGAGGGGGCGGGGCGTGGGCTCACCACTGCCTCCTCCTTTGGCTCCTCCATCTCCAGTCCAAGGTCCAGCCCGGCAGCAGGTGCAGCAGTGGTGGCAGGAGGCTCCTCGGCTTGGGGCTCCATGGATAGCGCCTGTTCAGTTTCAGCCTTAAGTTATTTGTGGGTAAGAAGGAAAAAAAGAGATTCGACATGTGAATAGGTAACACTGCAGCATACTGGAGCATCCAGAATCTCATCGTCATTCAGAGCAGGCAGCCAGCTTTATTAAATCCATTCTAGAGAAATAAATTCTCTCATCTAGTGGGCCCTTGCAGAACTAAGTAATCACAGAGTGGAATTGTGTTCAGCTTCTTTGGAACAGCCTCCAGAATGGTTTCCTTTAAAGTCGGGCAAACACCTACCACTGTATTTATCTCTAAAAGTTTACCTTCGTGTCTCTATGGTAAATGTAAGAGAACCTGAAATGATTCTTCTGTTGTGTGGAGAGGGAGAGGAATAGAGAGAAAGAAAGACACAAAGACAGAGATAGAGACAGACAGACAGAGAGACACGAAAAAAGACACAGAAACAGAGACACAGTGACACAGAGAATATCTCTTGAAGGTCCAACTTTGCCAGGTAGGAGTCAAGAATAACCTATAGGACACACAGTTCTGTGATCTTTCAGTATATAAGTATATATTACACTAAAAATGAAGGGATCATTCCAGTATGCAAATCAAGAAAGGAAAAGGCAATGATCTATTAGTTGATCCATAAATTCTTAAGACAAACTCATTTTCAATCCTATACCTTAAGTTATAGTCACATAGTGACCTGTGACTTTGATGGATTCATTGTGTTCCACTGAGGACCATAAGTATCACAGGAAGCTGGTTTCTGCTTGTGACACTGTGTCAGTGGTAAACAAGGTTAAAGTCTGATTTTACAGGTGGTTTTCTTTTTTGCTTTCTGCAAAGAGGGAGCTGTAGAAATCATTTTCTGTAAAATTAACTCTCCAAAGGAGCTAGTATGACCAACTAACTTTCAAATATCCCATGATAACTATCAACTGTCCCCAAATACATTCACATCAACTTACCAAGCTACCTACCATATTCTGATCTGCCTGCATGGTGAATAATGAAGTTTCCTGGGGCTGAAAAGAGGGAGAAAGCTTTAAAAAGCTATCTCAGTGTGGGATATCCCTCTGTATGCTATGAATATGTTTTATTACTATTGGTTAATAAAGAAGATTCTTTGACCTATGGCAGGGCAGAAGAGAGATAGGTGGAAAAACTAATTGAATGCAGGGAGAAAGAAGGCAGAGTCAGTCATACATCAGGTAACTGCCCAAGAAGCAAGAGGTAACAAACCACGAGCCCCACAGTAAAATATAAAATAATAGAATGGGTTAATTTAAGATAAAAGAGTTAGTTAATAAGAAGCCTGACCTAATAGGCCAAACAGTGTTGTAATTAATATAGTTTCTTTGTGATTGTTTGGGTCTGGGCAGCTGGGAAATGAAAGCACAGTCTATGCTCACTAATGGCACCCAGTGTTTGGCAACATACATTCACATAAAGCCTAAGAAAGCTTAAGAAAGGTTTCTAGACCCACAAAAGTGGGAGTCAATTGGAGCTTCTTGGTAACCACATTTTTTTCAGATAGGCTCTGTTCACTGGCTCAAGCAGAGGTGTGGCTTCTTTAAGATATGGCTTCCTGGTTCATACTGGTGGCATAAACAGTTCTGGCTCTTTTGGGAGGTCCTGCTACAGAGAATTAAGTGGGATTTGTGAGCAGAGTGCTACAAATTGCTTAGTGGTGACATAGACCTGCTGCATCCCTGGAGCTGGTACAATGAGCATGGCTCACAGAGCTAGAGGTAAACAATTCTGCCATGTGGGATATGGCACCATTCTCCTCACATTTAAAAAAGAACTCTTGGTCAAAAAAGCATTACAGATACACAGTAAAGACAAATTCAGACAAAAAGGACCTATAAATGGGTCACAGTATTGGATAAATGTACATCTTAGGAGAGAGAGAAGAAGGAGTATAGACAGCCATAGATTAAAGGAATAAAGTTAATAAAATAAATACTAAAAAGTATTAGAATAAACAAATAAGCCATGTAAAGAGGGAATATACACAGAGAGTCTGGATTATGTATATTATTGTGTTTTCCTTGAATTTTTTGACTATTAATGAGTTAACATTTGAGTCTTAGAATTGGTAAGCTAAACCAACATATATATTTTAAAGGTATCTTGACTTCAAAACTTTAGTCTAAAGATATGTTACTTTGCAAAAGAGGTTCTGCTTTCGTTTCCACAGAAGATGAGAACCTGTGGATTCTTTCCAGGCTAATGTGATAGAACTCCCCCACCCTAAAAAAAAGTTTTCAGTGAATCCTAAAAATACTTTGCCCAACAAACAGCAGGAAGCAGTTTGGAGAAAACTACATCCAAATTCCCAAAATGATTGTTTATAAATGTTTATTTTCATTTTAAAGGGATTGGTTATAAGTAGTTAATGTTCACAGTTCAATTTCTAAAAAAATTAAGGGGGAAATGATATAGAGATGAATACTTTGCATTGGTATAGATATTGATCTATTATTATAAATTTAAAGTCAGTTTTGTTATACTGTATATATGTATTTCTGCTCTTGTTTAAAGTATTGTGTTTGTGCAGTTCATTTAAAATGTAATATATAGTTATGAAACATAGATTAATAGTTATCTATAATAATCAAACTTTAATTATGTTAGATTTTCTAGATATACAGAGATATATTTCAGTTAACTAGATAATCTCAATACTTCAAAAACCTACAGAATATGACATTTAAAAGATTTTATAAACTTAGACTTTTCTTGACAGTGAGGCATGTCTGCTTCTGGCAGCACCAATTACTTCAGAGAGGTTGATGGGCATTGAAGGAACTTGTTATGGAATTTGCCTTCAGTGTGACAAGGCTAGTCATTTGGGCAGGAAATTGCCATTGCTTGACTGCTTGATGGTGTACTGTATGAACTGGTCATGCAGGACCCACAGAAAAATGGCTGATGAACTTTCTAAAAGATGGAATGGTCTTTCAGGTTCCTGCTTCACAGAAGAAACTGCCAGGTGCTGCAGGAGCTACTTTTGCTCCTTCAGCCAATAGCCTTTGAGATACCAGCCCACTGGGGTGTGGTATCTTTTGCTTTAAAAAAAAAAGCAGCAGTAGCCTTCCACTCACTCTCTTGCTTCAGATTCCACTTCTGGCTATCAGACACTATTCCTGATCATGCAGGAGGCTGTTGTCTATTATTGTGATCTGTACGTTTTTTCCCTTTAAATAAATAACCCTTATGTTAATCATAATTCCAAACTGGTGTGGGATTGTTTTGTGACTTACTTCATTAACCAGACATTCTGCAGGACACAGAAGAAAGCAACTGACAAACTGTCATTATAGGCAAAACAGTCTTTCAAATTTCCTGCTTCATAAAAAAGGCTACCAGATACTATGGGCAAGAAGGACTTTGGATGACTATCCAGGCAGTGAGATGCCTCTGTCAATTCTAGAGTTTTGGAAGTTGCTTACAATGAATTTCCTGTTTACTTAGCTAATATATCCTTCTGGGGTATCTGATGGAGCTGAAGTCAGATAGTTATAGTTTTCCTTAGTTATGATAAAAGATAAATTAGATATAAAACTTTAGACATATAAAGAAATATTGTAACTGTATCTTGTTTGATATCTGTTTTGTTATATGTAATTTTACTATGCTAAATTTAAAACTTTCTTTTCTATTTAGACAGAAAAGGGGAGATGATGTGGAATTCTCTTCTGTATGTTATGAAATTTTTTTTATTACCATTGCTTAATAAAGAAGTTGCTTTAGCCTATGGCAGGGCAGAAGAGTGATAGGTGGGAAAACTAAACTGAATGCAGGGAGAAAGAAGGCAGAGTCAGGCAGACACCATGTAGCTGCCCAAGAAGCAAGAGGTAACAAACCACAACCCTCACAGTAAAATAAAAAAATAATAAAATGGGTTAATTTAAGATGTAAGAGTAAGTTAATAAGTAGCTTGATCTAATAGGCCAAACAGTGTTGTAATTAATATAGTTTCTGTGTGATTAATTGGGTCTGGGCAGCCGGGAAATAAAAGTGCAGTCTCTGCTTATACTATTTAAACTAGAAGCCATCAGTTGTATCAGTTGGTGTTCTTGAAAGTCCCCCTTTAAATAGTTTAAAAAATACCAAAATAGTGTTAACATGAGTTATTCTAAACATTAATCTATGCTAGCAGAACATGTCAGGAACCACTGATCTCTTGGAAAGAGCTGGAGTGTGGTTCCTGATTTTTCAGATGGCTTTTATCTGGAAAATTACTAAAGGTATGGCTGTACATGGTGTGGCTCACTATGACATTTTAGAAGGAGCTCTGAAAATCATCATCTCTAATATCCATCATCTTGGTAAAAATAATCTTATCTCCTCTTCCAGTAGCCAAGTCTAGAGGATCTTTCATACTGGAATTACTTCTAATGACTAGTACAAAAATTGGCATAGCCTATGTATGAAGCACTTAGCAAGTGCTGGGTCACTGGGTTCAGCTTATAGCAAGGACAGCTCATTTCATCACAACAATGCCACAATGCTATCTCCATCCCTCAAGTTAGTTGTAAGTAGTGAGATCAAATTTTGTATGGACATTCTTAATCATTTTGCTGCAGCGATGACACAAAGCTCCCGCAGGAAAGAATTAAACATTCTCAGCAGGTGGCTCTTGTAAGGAACCAGATTCACCTTACCTGGGTAAAGCCATTAAATGAACCTCCAGAAGCCTAAAGGAAATGGAAAACGGGTGTGATTTTTTTTAACCAACATTTCCATAGGATGAATGAATATCTACTAGACAAGTTGGAGACTAACGACTACAACACACAAATTTAAAAATAATACAACAGCTTGCTTTGCTTGAAAGCACTTAGGAACTGTAAAAAGCCATGCTGTATTATTATAAATAGGCTGACAAAAAAAGTGGAAGATCCGTTTTACAATTGTTGCTTGCATATGGGTCAATGTTTGCCAACACTGACTTTCTCAATAATGAGAAAATGACTCTAGGCCAGAACCATGGGTGTTAGTATCTCTTTTAAGTCATTCGTATCCATCAATTTAATGAACAACAACTAAGATTCTACAGCTTTCATGAGCTTGGGTAGAAACAGTTCATGTTTTATTAGTGGAGTCAGATTAGCACCAGTAAATAAATCTGCGTTGCTTATGGATTAGCACATTTTAGTGTTCAAACAATAAGAAAGAAAGAAAGAAAGAAAGAAAGAAAGAAAGAAAGAAAGAAAGAAAGAAAGGAGGGAGGGAGGGATTAAAAAAAAGGAATAAAGGAAATGAAAGTAGAAAAAATAACTCAGAAAGTGGAATAGCAAGAAAGACTCCATTAATTCACAGCACAATCATTATGTAGTATTTTTGTTGTTTGTTTTTGCTGGATGTTTTTTGTCAACCTGTTTGTGTTTGGTTTACATAGGTTTCAAGAGGTACATGTGTCAAGGAGATCAATGGTGGAGAATGAAGTTGGTGAGAGACATAAGGAAAACAGAACCTAAGGAAGTCTGGTTACTCTACACTACATTTTAGAGTAAGTACCTCATCTTTATCAGCCTCTATTTCTTGGTACAACAATCCATATCTCTGGTTAGCAATTTCATCTTCAGATAAATCTGAGTTGTTGATGTCATTGTCTTGGGGACTACCAGGGCTCTCCATGCTAGTGTTCCAGGAGGTTCCCTGAACCATTGGTCTAGCAGTCTCCTGGCTTTGATCCAAGTCACTAGCCCTGGCATATTTCCTGCATACATCTGCTGGTAAGTCCACCTCCATTCCTTTCTGACTTTCTGCTAAATGTCCCCAGCAAGTATGTAGACCTTCTAGATCTCTGATGGACCAGTGGCTATTAGATTCCTGCCAATTGGCAAGCCTACTTGCTTGGCCATCTGGAATACCAGAGACTCCTACTAGATTCACAATATTTGCTCCTGAATTCAAGTCTGGCTGCCAGATTTGATCTGCATCTGTTCCCCGAGAATCTGTCTTTGTAGTTCTTGGCAATTGAATCGCATGAGGAGGGTTTCCAGGCCCTGTACTTGCAAAGCCCCCTGCTGATGAATCTTTCCCCTTATATGAGCTCTGCCCTTTTCCACTTGCAAGAGTTCCCAGAGAAGAGTAAGGGTCAGTTCCAGACTCATCTACCATTGCATATTTAGATGATAAAGCAACATCCTGATTCTTAAGCCCCTCAGCTCCTTGAGCACTGACTACAACGCCACACTGAACTTCTACACCTGCACTTCCCTGTGCTGGATAATGCTTTGTGGCATGGGTGTGCGGGCCTGATGAATGTTTCTCTATCTCTTTTCTAGTTAAATCCCATTCTTCAATGCTCAAATCTTTAATAATAGACACAGGGTTTGTCTGGAGAGGCAGATTACAGATCTCTGTATGATGGGCAGGTGTAGATTCAGAGCCTTCTACATTTTTGTGATGACTGTTTTTTACTTGAATCTCATTGGACAATCCCTGGATTCTGTCACTAAATTTATCTGCCACATATATTCTTTCCTTGTCTCTTTCTAATACATCAGCCTCCTCAAAATAATTTTCATAGATTTTTAGTCTTTCCTCACTTTCCACCCTTAGGTCTTTTCTACTTCCCACTTCATGCCTTTTGAAGGTCTCCTGACCTTGTTCTGCTGGTGTTTCGAGATGATGTAGTGTTCTAGTTTTTAGACCATCACATATTTTCTCCTCATATCCCTCAGTATCTTCTAGTGCCTTGGTATCAATAGCTCCAGTGTCTACCTTTTGATTTGTGTCCACATATTTCCACATAGGATCTTCTACCTTCTGTTTCTGCTTTATTTCTTCATCTGATACGTTAGCTTCTTCGTCACCTTTTTTGAGCAGGTCAATTGTTCCCACAACCGGCTTCTCTGAGTCACATGCTGCATATGGCTGGTCCATCTCCATGTACGCAGTAATAGAAACTCCAGCCCCAGGCACAGGCTCTGAGGACAGCTGTTCATTTCTAGTTGGAGGGGCTGGCCCTAGGGCATCCTCACCCTGTTCAGCTACATTAGAAGGGTCAGTAGAAGCAAGCATTTCGGTGGATAATCTCGTGGCCTGCTTTACTCCAGAGGGACAGACTATGTCTTCTTGAGACCCACTTGGGGTCATCTCCTGGCTGACACTGTCTGTTCTAGCATGAGGGCCCCAAGTCAATGAACCTATAGTTTCAGGTCTTTGAAGCTCTTCAGCCAAACCACTGTCAGGAGTTTCGTCTATGATGAGGTTACACATAGAAAGACTTTTGGAAGAGTCAGTCTTTAAAGTATGTAGAAAAGCAAAGGGGGGAGAAAAAGATGAAACAGACCATGAAATATTTGATGAAAAACCTACAGCTCTTCAGTAGTGTAGTACCAGTTAAATAAAACAAAAAATAAAATTAAAAAATACTTGGCAGAGAAACCCTGTCTCAAAAACAAATATAAACAAACAAATAAATAAAAATAAAAAACACTAGAGTTAATTGACTTAAGGTCAATCTAGAACTAGCAATGCCATGGAGAGAAGTCAGTCTACCAAAAAAAATGCCATATGTATAAATGTTAGGTATCTTTAAAATCTAGAATCTCATAAAAATCAACTTACCGGTTGTACCAAATCAGTGGTTGTCTGAAAGAGGGGGGAGAAAAAAGTAAAAAAGGAGAAACATTTCACTGGTCGATGCCTCATTCTGACCAGGCACAACATTCTTATGAATGCTGTAGCTCTTACTGTATGGGAATTAAATTTTACCACTTGTTACAAAAATGATTTTTGTCCTAAAATTTCTTCAAGACAATTGTGGAAGAGGCCCAAATGAAACACAAAGAGCCTGTGCTGTTCTTTAGCATCAGGGAGGATGTTTTGTGGCTAGTTCACAATTTCAACCATAGGAGACCATGAAATGAAAATGATTATCCAAATGAACATGCAAGTCTGAGACCACCAGAATGCACAGATATCAAGAAATTATTCCATATCATAGGCTCTATAGGAACAAAATGTCAAACTCATTCTTCACTAGGGTCTATCTTTGAGGCTTGTGTTGAATGGAGAATAAATTCTTATTAACCACATGACTACCTTGAGGATTCTCTTGACAGTCTTCCTTCAACCTAGAAGCCATCTTCAACCCATATAAAAAATACCTTTTAGAGTAGACAGAACTATGAATGAAAGCAGTATGTCAGAAAGACACGATTTCATCCGTTTTTATTATGACTACTATTCCTAGCAGGTCTGTCCTCTGAAGCAGTGAAAAGCTTCTTATAGAGGTATTTCTGCTCTCTCTGCATTCCTTTTAGAGAGGGAATAAAATGTGTCATAATTCTAATTAAAATTATGAAATTTTGGGATTACCAAGATTAGTATTATTCCCATAATTAACAATAAAAGTAACACACAGTTGAAGTTAGAACTCTAGTGCCCTGACTATCACCCCATCCCCCCTTTAGAAAGTATACAAGTAACACTAAATCCATGTTAAAGGTATTGACTTGGTCGAGCATGCCTTCGACCAACACTGTTAGCTGTGATCTTGATCCCTTTCAAGGATCCTACAAAACAGAATATAAACTCTAGAGAGGAGGATGAGCATCCTTTTTATTTTTAGGAAGCAAGAAGAAATTCCACTTCTGAAGACTGTGTCCACAAATAATAACTACATCTATTGAATGTGTCTGCTGAATTTACTACACTCAAGTATAATTCTGAAGAACACACAACCAGAGCTTTTTAAAGACTAAGACCATGCCCTAAGGAATGTCAGGCTTCACATGGGGTCACCAGTCTCCTAGATTTGCAATGCCAATGAACACCACAAAGTTCTGGTCATTTCTGCTCCTCCCCTCCCCTCTCTTTCTCCCTAGTCTAAATTCTAAAAATATTCAACCTTGCACATCAGGTTAGCTTTATAAAACAACACCATAATTATGGCTACCTTTTGTTGATCCATATCACATACTGGGCTAAATACTATACACATGTCTTAAGCCTCTCACAGCACTCTGAGGTAGGGATCATTACCTTTATTTTATAGAAAAGGTGATACTTATAGAATTTTAGAAATTGATCACACTTACATGATTATAAGAATTAGGGTCTGAACTCAAATCCACAGCTGTCTAGCTCAAATTTTCCAAATGTTTCAACCAAATTTAATTGAATATAATGATGAAAAATTGTTATCACCTCTGATTTTCTCATCCACACTGTGTTATGATTCTATCTAAGAGTACACCACATATCTAAGAGCCTTCCATTACGACAGCACTTTTGGTCATCATCTCCCACAGGAAGACACAAAGAGCACAATGCCATTGTCTTGATCCCTACCAGTTCAGCAATGTAGACCACTGACACACATTTCTCTACTAGGCTTTTTTGGATTTGGGAAATGCTCACAACTTTCAGGTATTTTTCTATGGTAATACATTATCATTAAATGTATGGGCTTTCTTCTTCTCATAAATAAAAGAAGTATATTGAGGTTTCCAAATTTTTTGATCAAAATATGTGAAATTAGTTTTCAATGCCTTACCGTCCATAAGTCCCAGGGCAACGTCTAAAAGGAAACAAAGAAAAACATTATGAGTAAAAGTCCACAGTTAGTAATGAAATAAAGAGGCCAGGGAGAGTCGCAATGTCACACACATGTGGCATTTAGAGCAGCACTCTTTCCTAGGCCCGTTTTTGATAATAGAAACACTCCAATTCCATTACCTATTTGGGCTATTGAGAACTTGAAATGTACTAGTCTAAATGAAGCAAACTTTAAATTTTATATAACTTCACTTAGTTTGAGTTTAGCCACATGTAGATACCATGAGAACAGCAGGGATCTAAGCCGTCTGCCTTTGCTCTTTAGACTAGCTTGTTTGGTACTGACTGTGATTTACAGTAAGTATGGTACTTCACTAGACACACATCATTAAAACAAAAATGCTTTCCAATACTAGGGGTTATCATATCATTGAGGAAATGAAGGTTTCGAGACTTTAATCCTTAACCGATGTGCTTGCCTCTTCCTTCTATCTCAAGAATATATCTTATGACCAGTTTGATGGCAAACAGATCCTTAAATATGCTCCAATATAACTGGGGTACAGAACATACAGATTAATTGGCAGTCACGCTTATTGTAGTAGGTGCCCATTAAAACATATTAATGCATGCCTGATGTGTACTCACTACTGATGGTTTCATTATAAAGCACCCAATGCAAGGATCCCTCTGACAGAGAATCTTATTACAAAGGCTACAGGAAGTAGTTGGAACTACAGAGTGAGGAAGTGATGAGCAAGAGTAAGCACAAGAGCCAAGGTACTCCACATCCATGGTCAGGAACCAGGGCAGGGTTCTTTACGACGAACACAAGGGCAGCTTCAAGTTCGAACTATCTAGGCTACAAACACATTTCGGTGGAGGAGGGTCTGATGGTTACCCAAATAAACCTTGCCTTGCAAAGTATGAGAAACGAAGTAGTGCAAAAAGGACACCAAAAGAGCTTCGTTTAGGGAAGGCACGAGGCATATTATTAGAGCCTACACTCCCTTGAGAGAAGCGAGACATTGAGAACTACCCTGTGAGACCCAATTCTGAGGCAAACATCTGGGGTGGCAGGAGAAGGCTAATGGCATGGAGAAACAGAAAATATTTGGTACTAATAAAGTCTTATTTCTATACCTTATGAGTAGGAAATAATTTTTAACCAAAACGAAAAATAAATAACCCTCAGTTGGAAGGCACAGTGAGCGCCAGTTAACTAGGCATAATGAAGGTTTCTCATCCCTAAACTTCCCACACTCACTTTATACCTGAGACATGGGGGAGTGGGCTGCTGTAGCAGAACCTGCAGGAGTCACATCAGGCTTGAAAGGGTCAAAGTCCAGATCCAGCAAAGTCTCCTCCTTCTTCACCTCAAGGACTTCATTCTGTTAAGACAGATGGATAGGAGCTAATGGAATGAGCTAGGCAGGATGTCTCACTGATACACCTCTAGTCATGTCAGGGCTTCATCCAATGCAGTGATAAAGTCTAACCACACATAACCCACTCCCCAGATCACATTCCAGGTCAGATTTCCCATCAAGGGGAATGCCACACAGGTAAAAGAAATATCTTTTTTGGTTATCTCAAACAATGGATATCAGAAAATGCACAGATAAAAAAAACACAGATGAATATAAAAATAATAAGATGTACTGAGCATTGAGCCCATTAGCACAACCCACTGCTGTGGTATACCTCTATGATTCTAAAACATAGATAGGAAGGAACCAATGAATCCTACTGAATTCACCTTTCCCATCCTCCCAGTGGTTCTCATTTGTGTGCTAAATATGAAATGTGCCCTAGATGTTCAGTGTATGAACCGTTGGTCTCCACCTGACGGCACATTTTTGCGAATATGGAAACTTTATGTGGAAGTGTTAGAAGGAGGTTCTAGGTTTTATAGCCTGCCCCCTTCCTATCCTCTCTTTCCTTCATAATTGTGGATTCAATGTGACCATCCATCTTGTGTTCCTGCTGCTATCCCCTCCATATCATGACACATTGTCCCTCAAACAGTGAGTTGAAATGTAACCTTGACTTCAGTTGCTTCTCATCAGGAATTAATACTCCATTTCCTGATTTAGTTATCATATGATCTATCCTATCATTGTACGTGTTCGTGTGTGTGTGTGTGTGGTAAGAATTGTAAGACTATATTAAGCATTAGTATCTATTCACCTGTGGCAATGGTACACAGGAAAACAGCATGGACTTGAAGTTAGGTAAACCTGGGCTCAAGCTACACAGTAAAGGGCAAAATGAGACAAGGTCTCCATATACTATACCACAGTGGCAGGAATTGGGGGCAGTTTCACACAGTCAAGTAACATGTTTTTGATATTTGGTATGTTTCATTTTTGAACATTTTGTTGTATAGAAATGGAAAGGTCACATCAGTGGAGGAACATGCAACAGGAAGTTGAAGTGGCTGCAGAAAGGTTTGGAAGATGGGAATTGTTTTCATTACTGATCAAAGAAACAAACTTCCGAATACAAAAATGCACGAATAGCTGGGAGGGTGAAACAGTAATACTTTAACATCCTACATTTGTTGTGTAGGAAAGCTGCTTGTGTGTTACTGTGTGGGCCCCCTTTTAAATGAATATTGCATTCTTATCATCTAGGTTAAAACTACATTTACTAAGTTATTTTTAGTACTTAGGGATAGATTTTCATCATTCCTGTACATTATTTTAAAATGTAAGAATTTTCAGTTTAATCAAACTCAAAACATTTTTTTTTACTTCAGTTATGTGTCCCTTTTTTTATGTTTCTAGTGATGTCTATTCATTGTATGGAGTGAAGGCTTTCATAAACATCTTTTGAATTAAGTGTAGTTTGATCATTTTCACCCCATATGCCTTACTCTTTCTCCCACCCACCTCCTAGTCTCCAAATAGTACATTATCAGTGTTTTAATAAATAAAGCTTGCCTGCATGTCAATGAAAAACAGCTACACTCGTCAGCCATACAGGCCCTGCAGTGGTTGCACACACCTTTAATCCCAGCAGCCACACTAGTTATCCATAGACTGGGCGGTGGTGGTGCACGCCTTTAATCCCAGCACTAGAGAGGAGACAGCTCTCAAGCTCATCGTCATACTAAGGATTTGCAGAGGCAGGATCACCATTTCAGTTTGAGGTAAGAGGTCAGAGTCAGTGGCTGATTTCTTCGTTTTTCTGATCTTCAGGTTGAACCCCAATATCTGTCTCTGGGTTTTTATTATTTGTGCTACATGTCTCTTTCTTTTCCTAGACAATTTTGCTTCTTCTTTTATGTCATATAATATATATTTACATAATATGTTATATATGCCCCTATTGCTTCTTTTCATATTATATAAATATTTATGCACAAAACTCTCTCATAAATATCATATATACGCTCCAATATTAGTTTTTAGCTTTCCATTTTTCCAACATGATTATTCCTCATATACTTTTAAAATTTCATAGACATTGTTCTTTCAAAAACATTTTATTTGTCAGTAATTTAAATATTAAAAGTGATTCCCATGTTCTTCGGAAAGATGGAACATGTAGCTGGAAGGGAGAGATGGTAGGAGGGGTCTGGAAGGGGTGGAAGAGGGACAGTTGGAGACGGCTGTCATCAGAATAGATTATATAAATATGTGAAGAGCAATAAATAATATATATTTATATCTAATAATGTCCAATACAGAATTTTGCCAAGTATTTGCCTACAAAAGTATCATGTTTCCTACATAGCAAACAGATTACTAGAAGAAAGAGGTAACACAAAAACAAGCTCTGTGCTTCCACTAAACACAATTTCTTTATCAAATCTTGAAACCAAGATAATGGGAGAGCTGGACAGCATGTGGAAAGCAGCTCTGAATTGTTATGATGGGTCAGTAAAGCAGGGAAATGCCTGCCACTGTCTATTAAACCCAGAACTCTGCGGGAATGTGCTCCCTTTCTGGGGCGTCCGCCAGCCGGTCAGGAAGACACTCACCTCTCCAGTGGATCTTCTGGAGGAATTAGAGAAGGGGTGAATTATTACCAAAATATATAATATTAAATCCTCAAATAATTAATAAAATCTAAAGCATAATAAGGATTCATGTACAGGATTGCTTTTTACTGTTTAAGTTCTTGGGAGGGAAGATGAGGAAAAGACAAGCTGTCCTACAGCAGTTTATTGTTGAGGACAAAAAATTAGAAAATCAGAAAAGCATTTTGGTCCAATATTCCATAGTGTCCTCTGAGTAGGAAGAAAGCACTTCCCATGAGAAATTCTGAGCTATACTTAAGGTTTGGGCCATTAGAGGGCTCTGCAGGCTCGGTGGATTTCTGTTCTCAGTCCCAAGGACACAGTTGGGAAAGTGTTGCTGCTGAGCCGATTTTTTTTTCTTCTATCAGACAGGATAGATTTTGCTTCTTACATCGCAGCATCTGGCCAGGATGAACACAAGTGTTTTTCTTTCCCATTAAGAGCATGATAAAAATAGCCATCTGCAGCCATAAACGATCTTCTAAATGCAGGATGACTCATTTAGGAAAAAAAAAAAGACAACACTGAGAAGAATTATTCTACATTAATATAGGGGGAAATAATCTCAGATAATTTTCAGCTTTCTAGTTTTCAGTACTTCATTTTTCATCAAGAATTGATATCTTTCCTCTATTGTTCATTTGTCTGTGCACTGCCCAAAACATTATTACCCAGATTATACAATGTATTAGCTTATAAAGACCTTTCAATGCATCTAATATTACAAGCACATAACATGTATGTGTTCAAAAATCCTACAAGAAACATTAAAACAGTCAGATGGCTTTAAGTGGGGCAGTTATCATGTCTTGGCTTGGCTGAACAGTTCCGTGAACAGAATCTGTTATTTGAACGTAATAGTCAGCTCAGCAACACCAGCTTGGACCATCGGCTCAGCATCACTGATTTAGACCATGCAGACTTCCGACTGATCAAAACAGCATCTCTCAGAGTGAGGTCTCAAGACTAGTGGCTGCTGGTGTGATAAAATGACACAGTACTGCTTTCAGCCACAGAAGGACAAGCAACCGAGGAAACTGTTAAAACACTGCAGAAAAGGCGGTTTCCATTTGAAAATAAAGCCAGATTTTTTTCACTTAATAACCCATGATTACAAACCAAAATATAAATCCCATTTCCCATCTCTGCACATCTTAATGTGGAACCAGGGGTCATTTGGTGGATGGAAACATTGGATATCACACTCTATGATCCAGCAACTGGAGCTAGGGTGCTTCTCAGATCAAACAAAACAAAAGCAAAAACCAGAATCCCTTTTCTCTCTTTTACTTAAATTAAAAGAAAACAGGTTAAATGATGTCCCTCACCCCCAACAAACTTCTGTATGTCTCTGGTGGGTAGTAATTTCAAAATCATCTAAGGCTTCCATCCCCTAACTAACCCTGTTTCCCATCTCCTTCACTCAACAATACTAGCAAGAGTTGATGCTTCCAGAAGTACTTAAGGACTCTCCTGGCATCTGCAATTTTCAAAAGTACCTTGATTCCTCCTCTCCCCACCATGAGGGTCCTTGTAAGGGAGCCAGAAAAAACTTCAAATAAAAACACTTAAAAGAAAAGAACACTTCTGAGCCTCGTCTTTACTTCCGACCTACTCTGTGTGTCACCTTCTTGCCATTTAAGTAGCCTCATCTCCTAGACAGGATGTCCTTGGCTAAGTACACAGGCTTCTAGAGGACTAAAGTCCCTACTTGTGATGAAATTGAGAGGATGCTATGGGTGGTAAACTCAACTGAGCAAGGACAAGCCACCCTAAAATATGCTCAGTGCAATTGTTAATGTAAAAAAAAAAAAAAAAAGAATGTGTCTCTAGCGAGTTGCAAATGGGTGGGCTGATGTAACCTGGAAATTAACGTGTAACTAAGAGTCAGAGGTTGGTACTTCCAGCTGATAGGATAGTAAGGTTCAATGCTTCTATAAAGGCAATACTGTACGACATAAAATGCCCAGTGAACTGAAGTTGCAATGTCAAGACTTCCTAACAACATAGCCTAATTTTTCTTTTTTGGTTTTTCGAAACAGGGTTTCTCTGTGGCTTTGGAGCCTGTCCTGGAACTAGCTCTGTAGACCAGGCTGGTCTCGAACTCACAGAGATCCGCCTGCCTCTGCCTCCCGAGTGCTGGGATTAAAGGCGTGAGCCACCATCGCCCGGCTATAGCCTAATTTTTCAAATGTGAAATTGATAAATCCTCAAGGGAGGGAAGTCAGATTGAAAGAAAACCTGCCAGAGTGAAAGCGTGGTTATGTTGCAATGGTAAGATGACAGCAACTCTTCTTCATTTTATACTTTTCAATATATACTGTAATAAGTAATATTCTACTAAATAAATGTTAGAATATTCAAATTCTATACATTGTGTATATAATAATCCTTTGTTTACACAAAGTAATAAAGCAAGCCCAAGCAACCAGATTTTACTAGCAGCACAAATAGCTGCTACTTTCACTGAAGCGGACTTAAAAATCCCTCCCACCACGGTCCTTTCATAGATGCCCCAGCTTCCCTGGGCACTCACCTGCGAAGGTGTCGTCACATTGATTTCTGGAACAAAGTTGTCCTCAAAGAAGTTGATGATGTTCTCTTGCTTCAGTTCTTTCGTTGGGGTCACTTTAGGCAGAGGTGGGACAGGAGGCCCTTTCCTTGTCTAGGAGGTATCAAACATAAACATGGTAGCCAAAGGCGTTGTTTGTAACATCTTTGAGAAAGGGTCACATGAGCACAGCAAAGTGAGAAGACTGACTTCTGAATGAACTGAGGGGTACATAGGTGTAAGCCTACTTGATTCATGTGGGTGGCTTCTGAACACTGACAAGCAATGGTCTCATCAGGAGAAGTTAGGTCATGAGAGAAGAGTCCATACACCTCAGTTTGAGCACTGCCCAGGGCTGCAGGAACTATGATCCCACATGGAGGCCATACATTCTCAGCTCAACTACAAATGATTTCTCTCGTCAGCAGAAAACAGGAATTTTAAAACAAAAATTAAGCCAGTTGGTTTTTTTGTTTGTTTTGTTTTCTCCAGTGAATCAATGAGACAAACCAGAAGCAGCTTCCACTTCACTCCAGGATTTTGAAATGAGAACTTTAGACTCTATTATACATACCTTCTTACAGCTTTCTAGCTCCAACGATGTTTATGAAAGCTTATACCGGACCTTGAATGTTAAATGTCCCTACAGAAATATTATTTTTGCTCAATGTAGGGAAATCAAAAGTATTTTTTTCTTTAATAAATTCAAAAAAAAAAAGTATTTTTTTTTCTCTCTCTCCAGTTCCCTTTGCCTGGTCCTCACAGTTTCTTTTAACTTGTGCCAGGCTTTTGCTGAGGGATCACAACTCACATGTAACACAACATGGGTGATGGAATACTAAACCTTACTGCAGTCCTGGGCAGGCCTTGACCCCAGGGCCATTTTTGTTTTTAAGCCTGGTAATTGAACTCAGAGCATGGGGCAAGCCAGGCGAGTTCTCCATCACTGAACAGATCCCCAGTCTCTGAAAGGTGGGATTCTAAGAGAATGTAGAGATGAATACATTCTGGTCCAAGAAGCTGGGGGTGGGCAAGAAAGTCCAAAGGACTCAAACACTGAGTATAGAAGAAAAGGTAAAAATCAAATAGAAAACCAGACTCATTTTATAGTGGTAGTAATAATGTTTACTGTTTCACACTTTAGTCTTCCCACAGAAGCATTTTCTAATGCCTGGTCACCACACGATGATCCCAGAGAAAAATCACTTCCCCATGAGTTCTACCATGACACCAGTACACACATCCTACCTGTGAAGGTGACCTGGGTCGCACTGGGGCAGGAGAGGCAGGCGCTAGTGTGTGGTTGGGACTGGCTGTTGGGCTGGGCAGAGGCGAAGGCTCCTCTGGGGGTGATGGTGTCTTTGCAATGCGAAGAGGACCTGAATCACTTGATGAACACAGGGAATTGAACAAGAGGCCTTCTGAGAAGCAGGACTTCTGCAACCCAAGATGCTTTATCCCAGAGAAACCCTGAAGCTTAGTATCAGTTATCATATTCCCCACTTCCAGACTAATTCTAGTTATTAGCAATAGTAACTACATAGTAATGGATACTGATAACTGGCTCCACTTGTTGTTCCCTATGAACCAGAACCCAGCCAGGCATGATCTCTTTTCTTCAGAGAAGCCTTGCAATATTGATCCCACTTTAGATATGAAAAAGGAAGAGTGTTAAAAAAAGAGAGACTTAGAGTTTTACTATATTTGCATTTAGAACGTAATACAAATGTCTTGTTTGCTCCACATGCCAAACAAGCTTCAAAGATTTCCTGCCATAGGCAGTAGTAGTAAAACCAGCTTCGCCTTTGATACACAGGAGAATCATATCATGCTGCAATCCATAGACAATTACGCGGCAAACTGTCACTTTCATTTTCCAAGGCATCTGAGGAGAGTGTTAATAAATCTTGCCTGGGAGTGCTTTCTGATTCCATTTGAGGAGGCACCAATTCCTTGTTTCTCTGCTTTATGAAACAATGACTAACTCGGACACCTTGCAATGTGCCAGCAGACCACATGACAGGTGAGATTCCACAACTTGCCGAGAAGCCACCATGTTCTAGGCACCTTGCCAGGTGCTTGGGAACAGCTTTACACGATGACTCAGATGGCAAGCGGGACACATCCTACTCTCTAAGAACGTCTAAAGACAGCAGCTAGAGGGAACAGAGTCTGTGACCTACATAAGAGTACAAACAAAGCAGCCTGGTCTACACATTCAAGAGCTAAGGGAGCCGGGTTCTTCAGAGAGGAGACACTATATCAGTGGTTCTCAACCTTCCTAAGGCTGCCACCCGTAAATACTCATGTTATGGTGACCCCACGCAAATTTTGTTTCATTGCTACTTTATAAACTTTCATTTTGCTGCTGTCGTGAATCATAATGTAAACAGCTCATATGCAAGATATCTGTTATGTGACCGCCCCAAAGAATCGCAACTCACAGGTTGAGAACCGCTGCTCTACATGACTGGAACAGCCCCAGTCTAGGCTCTAGTCTAGAAATTGCCTACAGAACTCACTCACCACCTTGCTCTGCAGAGGAATACAAAAATAAATAAATAAAAAGAATGAGTAAGAATAAGAAGAAAGAAGGACAAACAGAGGAAGAGACACTTAAGTGGCCATGACCCTACTTCTTGTTTTAGACGATTTTGAAATTGGTATTTTCAAAAGCATCTCTGGTTTTTATTTCCATGTGAGGAAGCTATTCAGTTTCTTAACATACTTTACTTTTACAAGATCCAAAAAATCATTTTGATATTCTTACTCCTCTCTTGTTTCTAGTTTAATAGTAAAAAAAAAAAAAAAAAACAACGTTAGAGCTATAATTCTGTCCCTTTTCTGGCTTCTTTTAGGCCATGTCCTTCCTATGGAGAGAGAAGACACACTTGCTCCTCTGGCAGCCATAGCAGGGGCTACATTTATAACCACTCCAAGAAGTAAGTGATCAAAACAAGCAGCCATCGCACACTGACAAATGGAGAGGTTGGGACTGCATGTGGCTATGAACGATTCTATAAATATATTCCTATGAGTGTTTACAATGACTGGCATAAAAAATACAAGTGAAAAATGTAAAGCTCAATAAAATCAATTAAAAAAACCACAAGTGTAGAATCTTAGAACTGAACATCACCTTAGAAACCATTTCATTCCACAGCATCCCACTTTTTCTATAGATATTTTTTAAATACGCTCTTTAACTACAGAGGTTGCTGGACTTCAACAAGAAAAACAAAACAAATTAACCACAGAGGCACATGACTAGAACCTAAAGGGCTTCTGACTGCTAGTTCAAGGTTTGCTAAGCATGGGTGGGTAAAAGAGACTTCAAAATCATAAGAGAAAGTGGGCATACAGTCAACCCAAGGAAAACAGCTAAGATGTGCCACTTCGCCTGTGGTTGGCACATTAACAGCATCCTACAGTCGAGTCATAACAGAGCCGTGTTGTGCAGTAAATGCCAAAGCAGAGGCAGAAGGTAGAGAGGTCCCTTCCACTTCTTTCCTTCCTTCAGCAGATAATAATCAGCAAAAAACTTTGGAGTTTTGATTTTTTTTTCTACTCAGATAAAGTAAGAGGTAGAAATGATTCCTAGCCCACACTATTGCTCTCGGGCCCCATGTAAATCAGAGGCAGTTACTTAGGTCTACTGTGACCAGTAGCATATTGAGGCAACTGAAGGCCAAAAGGAAATGTAAAATCCCTAAATCTATGGTTAGGATGACTCCCCAGGTAGGAAGGCTCCTTTTGGACCTTTACAAGGTCAATAAACAGAAAGACGTGGTCTCCAGACTCCAGATAACTCAGCACACAGCACATCACTGGCACACGGAACAGAGCGAGCTCTGAGGAGCAGTGGCCTACCTGGGAGCTCCTTGGATACTGAAGGCCTTGTCAGCATGCTGATCGCCCAGTTTTGTCATCACTTCATAGAGCTTGTGGCAAAGCTAAGGGGACAGAGGCCCATTAGCCACAGCACATCCTAATGCCCACCCATGCCATTCTCCCTTAGAAAGAAACTGTTTAATGAGAAGCTATCATTGTTCTAAGAAGTAGATTGGTCTCAGGGCACTTGAAATCCCATAGACCAAATTTAAAGTCTACAGCCAAGCTGAAATAAACCAAATGCTGAGTCAATCAATTATGTATTCACTCTAATATCAAGCAGAAGAGAAAAACAGATTGTTCATCTTAACTCTATTAGAAAGTAGTCCTCAGGCTGCCCTGAGGAAGGACAAAAACAAGAGTTAGCAACATGGCTGATGCTTTTCTGAATATCCTGAGATCAATTTTTCATTAGTTTAGAACATCACTTGACATTCTGACTTTAACCGACAGAAGAGAAAAACAAGACAGTGAGGCTTTGACAAGACCCTCGGAGGGTGTAGGGAGCTGTATGTTGACAACTAACAGAAAGCAGAGCGCATGTGCAGAGAGTAGTAACAAACTGCAGCTCCAGGAGCCTTCTAAGAGGGTGCATTAGCTAGGGATCCTAGGCCACGCCCTCTGCTCCCTTTGCATTGCCCTTGGTAAGGGGAATAGCCACCATCACTCACCACTGCAATTTCCTTGTGAAACTTGGCCTCAAGGCTGGAGACATTTTTGAAAGTATTGACATAAAAGCCAACTCGTCTACCATGGGGAAACACAAAACAGAGATCAGTTAGCAAAAAATGGATTTTAATGGCAATTAAACATATTAGGACTGTTTTCTGTACATAATTTTGAACAACATTGGATTTAATAACATCTTAGAGCAAGCCTAACTTTTCTTAGCTGTCGAGCATTCAAGCTTCCCGTTGGCAACATCTCAGACACATTTGTAAAGGCAAAGTTATGGGAATGGTGCTGGGACATGAGGCAAATCCCATCTGTCTTCATCTGTGGTTCCTAAGGCAAATGGAGACTTAGCTTGTCACCCCAGTATAAATTCCAAATAAAAAGTATCTGGACTCTATTTTACTTCATTCTTTTTTTTAACTTATCTGAGTGACAACTTTAATTTAATTCATTTTATTGTTTCAATGACATTCTCAAAAATAACTAGTGTCCGGATTTTTAAATTAGGTCTGAACTCTCAACTAAAAAAAAAAAAAAAAAAAAAAAAAAAAAAAAAAAAAAAAAAAAAAAAAAAAAAAAAAAAGACCCGGACAAAAGGACACTCAGTGATCTTCTCTTGCTTAAGCTGAGCTTTCAGTGCATAGGATTCCAGGGAGAAGAAATAGAGAAACCATGAGAATTGATCAAGGAACTTTTATTTGTTTCTTTACTTGCTTTTCATGTCAATCCCCTGGGACTGCTATCATCATTTACTAGATAAAGGAAATGGGGATTAACTGTCCAGTGTCTACTGGACAATTCATGGGAAAAATGGGAAGAGAAAATCAGTATTAAAACCCCCAAAGAGGAAAAGGTAATAGAAAATCATAGAATACTTTACAAGAAAATTTTAAAACAATGACCTTTGTTATTTCAATATCAGCAAATTCTGCTTAAAGTAGGTGCTTTTGAATCTTAGCTAAAACAAAAACTTGGAGCCAAATTTAAAAATTTAAAGCTCTGAAATGAAGCAGTAATTAAGTGATAAGTCTGCCCCATCAATAAGGCACTATTTTCCTGTGCTTTATCTTGTACCTTAAATCCCTGCCACACTACCTTCATTTCCTATACCCACAGTCACCACGTGACCCTGATTTCACATATTTTTATCGTAACTGACTTTAAATCCCATATTTCACATATACAGACATGCCGATGGATCTCTAAATCATACACACACACACACACACACACACACACACACACACACGGATATATATCCATATCTGTATTCTGTCTATTATGGTTCAACCATGCATGGTTCAAAACCATCAGAAAACAGATGGCATCTGCACTGAATAGAGACTATTTTCTCCATCTTATTTTCTGAACCATTCACAACCGCTCTTTGCACCATGTTGTCATGGTATTAAGTCTTCTAAGCAATCTAGAGCTGATTGCAAGTGCACAGCAGGATGTGAGAGAAGGTCACGCACCAATACCACATCGTTTTTTTATGTAACAGGCTTCAGCAGCCATGGAGTTTTGCTTCCCCCGGGGGTTGTGGGAACCAATTCTCCACAGATACAGGAGACAAATATATATTTGCACACATACATGTACTTATGCATATGAACTATAGTAATGAAAACCCTGGCATAGTGTGTTTGGGAAACAGGACTCAGATCAGAGACCAAGAGCTGGGAAGCAGATGGTTCTCAATGGTGGGCAGTAAGTCACATTTATTTACAGATCAGAGGAAGTATGTAGCCATGCTTTGAGATAGGAGAGAGGACATATTTTGAGCTTGAATTCGAAGAGACAAGGTCAGACATAGCTATATGGGAAAGGAGAGACAGTGTGGACTCTGATAATGCCATACAGAGGAAACCACTTGCTGTGGTGTTTTCAGAGAGATGTTTCTGGAGGAGCAAACTAGAATGTATAATCTCTTTCTTAGACTCTGATCAATCTTTTCTTTGTCTAATTACTTAACAAAACCTACCTACCTCTGGGTACCTACCATCATGGTGGGCTCAAGAGGTACCAAGCAGCTTAACTACTAAGCATTTATACCAATTATACTTAAATTATAAAAACAAAATATAAAACCACATGGGAATGGCAAGATGCCACAGTAGTTTAAATGTGAATAAACATGAAATAATGAATGGATATGGGCACAAACAGCTAAAGATCAGCTGCAAACATCTGCTCGAGAGGACACACATAGGCTGACCAAGAAGATAGGTAGATGTTTGTCTTCTGCTTTGATAAAACACCATGACCAGGACAACGATCAGTTCATTTGGGCTTACAATTCCAGAGCAGTGAGAATCCATAGAGTGGGGGAGCATGAGAGCAGTAGCAGGGATCTGAGGCCACATCTTTAACAGCTATCATGAAGCAGACGCACTGACCGTAAGGTGAGGACTTAACCTCTCACAGACCATCCCCGGTGACACACTTCCTCTAGTGAGGCCTCACCACTTAGACCACCACAAACAGCGCCACCAGCAGGGGCCAAGTGCTCAAATGCTGAACACTACAGGGGATAATTTTCATTCAAACCATGATGGTGAATATTGTATAGAGTTTCTTTTATGATAAAATTACAGAGAAGAGCAATGAATGAAATTTTATGCCTGGCTCAATATTTCCTTATAATCTGTTTCACATATGCAAATTCTAGTGAGAAGTTTGGATAAGGAAGCTTTGATGTCCTTGTCAAACAGTTTCTATCGGCTGAGGCATTTTCCTTCTTAACTTTGAATATTGTTTAATGTAATGTCCATAAGTTTGCTACTGAAAACTTGCATATTTCAAAAGACAACATTTTTGTTCAAGTATTTTCTCCCTTGTTGTTATCACCTATGCATATTTTCGACATATTTCTTAGTGTACTTTTACTATCCATTGATAAAGGCTGTTACATTTACTGTATTAAATCACTAATAAAACTATCAAAAAAGAAAAACTAATGTGTACTTGTGATACTTGGTCTGAAATTTTCAACTTGACAGGCTTTAGAAGCAGATGGGAGACAAGCCTCTGGATATTACTGTGGGTATTATCTTGATTCTGTTAAATGAGGTGAGAAGATCTGCCCATTGTGAGTGGCGCCATCCCGTAAGCAGGGAATTGTGAACTGTGTAAGAGCGGCCAGAATTAGCTGACTACTGACATGTATTCAGTTATTGTCGTCTTCTCTAGGCTGTGGATATAATGTAACCTCCTCCCTCCAGCACTGCTACAATGGACCATAACTTGGGTCTGGAGACAAATAAACCCTTTACCCTTAGGTTGCTGCTGTCCCAGTATTTTATTACAGTAACAGGAACTAAGACACTACGTTTTCATGTTGAATTTTTATTTTACTGAGAGAAACAATTGGTACAGTACCAGAAAGAAATACTGTACTTTAAATAATTAAGCAAGCATGTATACTTTTATAATATTGTGTTTGATTTTAGAATTTAGAAATTAAGTAGCATGTGCTAATTTAGAAAATATGGTCATAGTGGTGGTGATACAACTTAACATATATAAACTTTCTCTAGTATACGAAAACAGAGACTGTTTTCTTTTTTTTTTCCCCAGAGACTGTTTTCAACAGGGGCCATGGACTTGTTCACAACTGCAGTCTTGGCCCCTGACACGGCACCTAGGGCCCAGAATGCACGTAGTAAATATTTTGTGAGTGAGTGAGCAATGAATGAATGAACAAATAAATGAACGAATGAACAGACAAATGAAAAAGCCATTGGATGGGTGCATTCTGACGGCCTTGACTTATGAAATGCTAGCGAGAACAGCAGTGAAGTACACATTTACAGGATGTCATGCTCTGAGTGCCTATATTTTCTTGGAAGGCTCATTTCACAAGTTCTTCATTAAATAATGGATCGTGAGTCTTTACCAGTTCTCCCAAAAGGTCTGGTTTATGGCATCACCATGATGTTTCTGATTAGTTGTCAAAATATTTTGTTTTAAATCACCATCACCATGTTGGCATCACAGAAATATTTTGTTCTCATAAATGAAGGAAATATTTGGAAACAGAGCAGATGGCATACGCAAACCTATACACTGTTCCCTCCAGGATGAACCATGAGAATTCTGCACATCAGGTGGAGGAGGACACGGCTTCCCCTGTGTTTCTACCACCTTCCCTGACATGGAGATGGGTGCAGAAAGGGGAGTCTTTTTGCAACTTTTCCCCAGATGCTGAACCCAATCACACTCCTGCTGCTAAACACTTAGCGTCTTCACAACTGAGCTGCAATCCCAACCCATCCACTCTGCATAGGCCAAGTCTCATGGGTTCACTCTCTTTCACTCAGTCATAACACTAACCCAACAGAACTCTACACCCAGGCTACTATCTACCATAAAAGCAGGTAAACGTAGCATGGCCCAGGTATCTTATTTATGCCTGTTCTTCCACATTTATGCCAGATCCAGAATCTTGCCAGCATTCTCAGTGCTCTATCTGTGAACTGGGGCAACCCAGGGTCTCACATCCAATCTATCCCAGGCAAAAATCCTTTATTGCATTTGCAAGTATCTGTGACTCTATTTTTAAAACTTGTGTATGATTACTACCTCTTTCTGGCTTTTTGTAAACCTTTTTATTCAAAATTTTTTCAAACAACATATTTTGATTATGTTTTCTCCCTCATGTTATTTCTCATTCTCCCTAAAACAAATAAAAGCAAAACACACAAATTTAAAAGCTCCACAAAACCATAAAACCAGAAAACAAAATGAAACAAGCAAAAACCCAATAAGACAAAAAAATGTCCAAACAAGACAAATAAAAGTCTACAAAAATACCATCGGGTTTGTTTTGTTTCCCAACTGCTTCTGGGCCCAAGGCCAACCTTTAAGTGTAATGTGTACCCAATAAGACTCCATTTGAGAAAACTAGCTTTTTATGTTTTGTCAGCAGGTATCAGTTGCAGATAGCTTCTTGGTTAGGGGTGGGAGCCTGTGATCACTTCCCCTTCTCAGTGCTGGGACTTGGGTCTGACTTGAGCCTGTGTAGGCCCTGTGCACGCTGCCACAGTCTGTGTGAGTTCATATGAGCATCAATCCTATTGTGTCTAGAAGATGCTGCTTCCTAGGAACCATCCATCCCCTCTGACTTTTATAGTCTGTATGCCACTTCTACATAGATCCATGAGCCTTAAGGGGAGGAAGACCTTGATGAAGACATCTTATTTATGACTGGGGGCATCAGAGTCTCTCACCCTGAGAATGAGGCCACTATTTATTTCAGGCAGCAGAGTCCATGGGGGTCCAGTCCTTTTTAAGCCAGAATCATGTAAAATAGCCCCCAGCCCTGTCTGACTAGTCTATGAACACCCTCATACAGTTCCAATCCACTATTCATCCCACACATTCTCAGGACAATATTCCTCTACTGCCACTGGCACTGCCATCTTCTCATAGTGACAAAAGTTGATTTTCAAAGATTAACTTGTTCTATCAAGTCTCTATATTTGCTGCATGATTCCTCATGCCCATCCTAAAATCAAGACTTTCAAACCAGATATCCACTGTGCTGTTTCCTCACGTCTGACGGAGTTATCAGTCCTTGCCATGGAGCCTCTGATCCCTCCAGTCACTGAACCTTCTTTGGAAGTTTAGCAAAGGTGAAATGTCATTATTTCCCCTGAACTTGATCTTCCTATTGTAACTGGCACTCACGGAACATGTTCATCACTGGCCTGTTCTCCGTTCACATCTTCTTGAGGTCCTACTTCCCTTCAGGGCCCGGATAGAGCTCTGATTATTTCCTCTCAGGGTTTCCTTCAGGGCTTCCTGACACTGCACATGGATTCACACAGCCACTCATGCATCTGGGCATCTACATCACCCATACTTAGTGTTTCCTACCCTCCTTTCTGAGACCCACTCGCTGTTACCTTAATAGACTTCCTAATGATTCTTCAAACACAGCACACATAAGATGGGACTCAGTACATCCCTAAACCTTCATTGTCAGCATGTACTAAATCTTTGAGGGAAGCTTCCCTCATCTCTGAAGTTACACTGGCCAATCAGCAATGTCAGTCACCATTGTGCTAGTTTGTCTGACATTTTACTTTTTGTTTCTATTTACCCTTCACAGTAGGCTGTAAGAAAAAAAAAACTTTCAGTATAAGATCTATAACACCTTAAAGAAGAGAGATACACAGTGGTGGTTAATAACTCTGATAAATAAGTGAATCTCACCTTAGTCTTAGTTCTACTCTCTCCCCATAATTCCCTCCTTAGCATTTGCTTTGCAATCAACCTCATGATACTTTACGTTAAACTTCAAAAAACTGGAGCTGGAGAGATGTCTTAGCAGTTAAGAGCACTGACTGCTCTTCCGGAGGACCTGAGTTTAGTTCCTAGCACTTGCATGGTAGCTCACAACCATCCTTAACTTCCCAGTTCTAGGGGACCTGACACCTTTGTCTGACTTTCATGGCTACCAGACACATATGGTACTTAGAAATACATGTGTATCCATACACATAAAAAGCCCTTAAAATTAAAAGCAGTTCCAAGAATCTAAAATCTATGCCTTTAAGTGTGCCCTCTTCAGCTTGGAATATTTGTTCACCAAATACTGACTTCAAAAACTTCAGATAAAGCATCCCCTACAGCATCCTCCTTCCTTATAGCAATGCTTTATAGCCATGTCCTTTGACCCACAAGTTTGTGAAAATATAAATATAGGTAGGAGGTAGAATAGTTGTGTAGTGTGAGTGAGACTCTAAGTTCAACATCCAACAATTCCCCCTTTAAAAGATTTGTCACTCATATTAGTTTAATAAAACACTGATTGGTCAGTAGCTAGGAAGGAAGTATAGGTGGAATAACCAGACTAAGAGAATTCTGGGAAAAGGAAAGGCAGAGACGGTCACCAGCCAGATGCAGAGGGAGCAAGATGAGAATGCCTTGAGTGGGAAAAGGTATCAAGCAATGTGGCTAAACATAGACAAGAATTGTGGGTTAATTTAATTTATAAGAGCTAGCTAATAATAAGGCTGAGCTAACAAGCCAAATAGTTTGTAATTAATATAAGCCTCTGTGCATGTATTTGGGACTGAACAGTTTCAGGGCCAGGTGTGACAGAAACTTCCATTTAAAATAAATAATACAATCTTTTGCAATCTATATCTTCCTCTATGTAGTAGATTATTTCTTTCAATGTATATGTGTGCGTACATTTGTGCGTGTGCATATGGTGACTGGAAAGTAGACCGCTCACCTCATATTTTGAAACAATACTAAGGTCTCTCACTGAAACTGTAGCTCACCAATTGACCAATTGATGGTTGATAAACTCCAGCAAGCCATATCTCTGGCCCTCAGGCGGGTACAAATGCATGCCACTACACCCAGCTCTATTTGGCAATAGGAATCTAACATCAGGTTCTCATTCTTGCATGGGGACCACTTCATAGACTGAGCCATCTTCCTGGACCTTACTTCTCTTCTTTATACATCCAAACTTTTGAAACAATTTCCTTTGCAGTGAAGCAATGGAAATTAAAAGAACAAAAGAAACAAAGAGCAAACTAAAGCCAAGCATCAAGCTTAATACCATCCACCTTTTAGATTCAAAGATGCAAACAGAGTGAAAGAAAAGGAATAGAAAAGGGAGATGAGAAAGGTACCATGTAAGGAGTGAGCAACAGAGACTTGGAGTAGGTATCAGACAGACATTTATTAAGAAAGGTAAAAGATGATACTATATAGCTCCATGCGGTTGTGTACACCTATAATCCCAGCATTTGGAGGTAAAGCCAAGAGTGATGTAGGATTCCTTACTGTATCTTGTGAATATTTTTTTATCACCGTTAAGAAGCTACTTTGGCCTATGGCAGGGCAGAATATAGAAAGGCAGGAAATCCAAGCAGAGATAGGCGAGGAAAGAAGGTGGAGTCAGGGAGAAGTCATTTAGCTGTGAAAGGAGAAAGATGCCAGTACCTTACTGGTAAGTCACAGCCTCGAGGCGATACACAGATTAATAGACATGGGTTAATTAAAGATGTAAGAGCTAGTTAGGAATATGCCTGAACCATTGGTCAAAAATGTTGTAATTAATATAGTTTCTGTGCGATTATTTGGGTGAGGGCCAAATAATACAAGAGGATCAGGAAATTTAAGGTAACCTTTGCTATAAATCAAGTTAAAAGCCAGCCTGGGCTACATGAGACCTGGTCTCAAAGCAAGCAAACAAAAACATAAGACATTTTATAAGGATAATATCTTCAGTAATATGCACATCTGAAAAAGGAGTAAAGTAAAAGCTGACAGAACAGAAGAGAAAAACTGGGCCTGACAATAGTTAATGTCAATAACTCAGCTTCAGTAATAAATAGAATAATCAGGCAGAAAACAGAGAATTGAGGACCCAATGAACACCACAGCACAATGGGACACAGTGAATAATTTCTGAATGTCAAACATGAGTTTGATGCAGGAATTCAAGCATTTATCACTAAGTACATGGTCACTGCTATATGGCCTATCCTGTGCATTTCCTCATAGGAGACACTGAAGATTAAAGTTGCTGACTTCATTATCAGGCTTGAGCAATGTCAATAGCAAGAGAACTACGTGCTTGTGAAAAATCAGGACCGTGTGCAATTTCAGTCAAAGAGTGCTGCAGATAAAAGCAGAGGGAAATTAAGCTCGGAAATGTGGTTACTTTCTTCAGGGCCACCAGCAATTTAGAAGGTAGGGGAAGAGATTAACAGTAATACAGAATGGCGGGCAGAGTTCTGTTTGAAGGGCCGGTGGCACGGAACTGTTGATGAGAACTAAGAAGCAACTTCCTGGTCCTACCACTGAGAGATGAAAAGGGATTAAGACACATAAATCTCACTTGATACCATGAGAATTGTGGAATGCCTGTGAATAAGAACAGCATTTGGTACAGGATTAGAGCCCAGGTTAATAGTCCAAAGAACAAGGTCAGAGACTAGATGAGGTCTAAGGATAAGGGAAATCCAACCAAGAGTTGGAGTGATCTTACTGTGAGTCTAAGATTAGGTAAAATTTTCCTAGTTAGAATTTGAGTATCCACTGAGAAATCTATCAGAGTCTAAATATTCGCCCAGCACATATGGCTATTTAATTAAAATGAGATACAACAAAATAAATATAAAATTTTATTCCTCAGTCTCCCCAATCACATCCTGAGTATTCATTAGGTATATGTGACTAGTGATTTCCATATTGGAAATCATAGGTGCAGAACTTCTCCCAGCCAGCACAGAGGCATTATAGACAAGGAAGGTGACAACAGGGGAAGTCGTTTCTCTTGGACTGCTAAAGGTGGGATGTGCAAATTGGAGCAGAATCATATTTACCTTGACCATAACGATGGTAATTCTTCTTGTAAGTCAACGTTGAACTCTTCAAACACTTTCTGAGCTTTCTGGAACTCCTCTTCTGCCTAGAAAAGACACACAGCATGTTGGCACACAGAGGGGTCATTCTTATGCAGAAAAGATCACTTTGTATTAAACAAGAATTGCCTTGTGGTACTCTCAGAAGGCTTTGAGAAGAAATATTTGTTGAAAATCATTCCATCTCACTATTAAATATGAAATGGTAAGATTCACAGGAAAGCCAGTGACTTTCTTCCAGGCTTGTTCTGATTTGGTTTTTTTGTTTGTTTGTTTGTTTTTTGGTTTTTCAAGACAGGGTTTCTCTGTGGTTTTGGAGCCTGTCCTGGAACTAGCTCTTGTAGACCAGGCTGGTCTCAAACTCACAGAGATCCGCCTGCCTCTGCCTCCCGAGTGCTGGGATTAAAGGCATGCGCCACCACTGTCCGGCTTGTTCTGAATTGTTAACTCTACAAAATGCTATACTGCTTCTACCAATCTCTGCTGTGGATACTACTCATGAATGCTCTTTCAGAAAAGTCAAAGCCCCATGGAAAGTCTAAATCATTACCAGATGTATTTTCAAGATAGATTTATAATTCGCTGTAGAACACACTACAGAGAAAAATATCCCTTCACCATATAAGAAAGCAATGACCCACAGGCTGGAATTCCACGGTACAACCTCGACAGATTTACCTTTTGTACTGCCTTGACTTGGATACAGGGGAAAGAAAGGCAACATAGATGAAGTGCTCGACAGAGCCTGGCCTGTGTGAGGCTTTGCATGAAGGGCAGCTGCTATCGCATGTGCTTGGGAAGTGATGGGTATTCATGCAGGATCTGCTCAGGGTGGGTGTATAGAAGAAGGAAAGGAGAGAAGGAAGAACTTGGAAGTTGAAGGTGGACATGTAATATGTATCCAAACTGAAGATCTTGCTTGTCATACTAAGGGATTGAAATTTTTTTTTCCTAATAAGGACCACTAAGAGAGGTAGGTAGTCAGGAACCTGATCTAGAGATGCCATGTTGGAACATGATTTGGCAATGGTGTGAGGTAGAGAAGACAAACCAAGACTGGAATCCAAGGGAAGAGTGGAGAGCTGATATCATTTAGTCGGCATCTGCAATGTCGACAAGATCGTGATGGCTTGAATGAGATGATCCTCACAGCCTCCAGCATTTGAATAATTGGTCCTCAATCAGTAATGAGGTTCAAGAGGCTTGGGAGGTATAACCTTGATGGAGGAAATATGCCACTGGTGGCGGGGGGGGGGGCTGGTTTTGGAACTTGCAGAGTTTGACTTTGATCTCTCTGCTTCCTGCTTGTGATGTAAAGTGTGACCTCCCTGATTTCTGCTCCAATGGCTATGCCTGCCTGCTGTCATACTTCCCCACTGTGGTGGTGATGGATGCGTACCTGTCCAATACCCAAAGCCCCAAATAAGCCTTTCTCCTACAAGTTGCCTAGGCATGGTGTTTTATCACAGCATTAAAAAAGTAACTATTACAACGATAAGAGCTGCAGAAATGAATCTTTTCCAAGAAACTGATGTTATGCAAATGTAGCTTCTGCCTTATTTTCAGTTGGGAGTTTTGTCTAAGAATGCCAAGGTTGGCCTCCCTCCTGAATCTATGTTTTGGCAATGTTCATGGACCATAAAGAAGTGCAGAAACTCTCCTGGGTTTCTTTGAGCTTGAAGCACTGCAAAGGGCTCAAATTTATTCAGATCAAAATGTGTCAGTCATGGATCTCACTTATAATAACATGAGAAAAACCTTATTTTAATTAAAGTGGCTTAGAAAACTGTGATTTAGTTTGAATTCTATCCTGATTGCAGTCTCCCGTTAAAAAGGGGAAATGTCCAATTTTTAAAAACAAGGCTGCTACAAGCCTCAAGATTTGGAGAGTGCAGTCACTCACTGGATGCACCCCTACCTTGGAGATCCGACTCTCATCCTTCCTTTTGGAACTCTGCAGAGCCTCCAAGTGATGGCGAGCGCTGTCATAGTCCACGAGCTTCCTGCTACGCTTTGCAATGCGATTCTGCAAACACAGACAACACATGACCTGAAGGGGAGGTGGTCACAGAGTCTCTGACTGCCAAAAGTCAAAGGTCAAATGCTTTCTGGGTCAAAAGCAGCTGAAGACTTTACAAGAGTCATTGCATTTACATATGTTTCTGCCTGTGTGAGTATAGTTAAAGAACAATCTACAGGAGTCTGGGCTCTCCTTCTACCACGTGACTTCCTGGGATTGAACTCAGGTGGGTCGTCAGGCATGGTGGCAAGCACCCCCACCTGCTGAGCCATCTCACTGGCATGGAAGGTGAGGATTTTAACAGAAGATAGAGGTGAGCAGCAATATGAATAGGAAAAAAGACAGCCAGAAATCAGAACGAAGCTTCCAGACCTTTGTGCTGTAAACAATGTCCCTTCTGCAAATAATGAGGCTGATCATGAACAGTTAAAGTTACACGTTGCCATCAAAGAGCAGGAAATCCCAGAGTGTTTGGAGTATCAGACAAACCTGGACTCTCTATTAGCGTCTATGCTCACTCTTAATATGTTTGCAGTCTGAAGACAGGAAAAAGCCACATAAGGTTTTGTTTTATGATTATAATAGCATACTAACTGCAGATCCCTAAGACAGCTTTACTCTCTAAGAAATCTTTTTTCAGTTTGTCATTGTCCTTGAAGTTTTAGAAACTAGAGCTAATATATCGCTTTGGAAATGCTGGTGCCCAGTACACAGGGAAACTATTCTTGTGCTAGCTCATTCCTAGGGCCAACCCCATTAAGGAATTTTCACAATCCTGGTCCAGAAATCCTGAACCACTAGCTATATCTAGTGCTGTACCTAGACAACACATCCCATGACCACAAACATTGTTCAACCAGGACCATCTTCATTTGTCATCTATATGACTCCTCCTTGCTTAGGAATCATATAGTTATAAATTATATGCATAGTTACCCACATTAAGCTCCCAGAGCTGTATAGTAGCCAAGATGGCCTGTTTCCCTCATATGGAACAAGTTACTTTGTATGAGGATGCCCATAAGGAAACTCACCCTAAGCAGAAAAGAGCTTCTCCACGATGGAGTCCCCCACGGTTCAAGGCCCCTGAACTTCAAGTGATGCTCTGCAGAGTACCTAGTCCATCGCCTTCTCACTGTGTGCTCTATGAACTATTCTCCCTATTCTAGACTAACGAATGAATTTAGTCATTGCTTGCTACTATAATAGCTAGGCCACTATAATAAGTTATTCATATGGAAACATAAAGAGGAAAATTGAAAGAGAGCTAGGCATTCCTGGCACCCATAGCTTAATTTGGGAAGCCACACCCATCCTCAGAGATGTTTAAGAAGAGACTCCTACTTCTGCTACATGGGCTTCAGATTCCTCTCTTTAGAAACCCTCTGTTGATATTCTCCTGCAGAAGGGAAACAAACAATCTCACTTCTTTCATATAGGAAGTCTGCGCACTTAACAGGAACCACAGGATGGCTATCATAAACATGAACTTCTAAGACAGAATGATCTGGAAAAGCATTCCACCCAAAACCCGAGAGTAAAAGCATACATGACCTGGAAAAACAAGCTCCTATCAAGAGCAAAACCAATAGGCACTTTGTCCTCCTGAGATGCAGCAGTAGATCTAGCCTGAGAATTTTCTTCCTAGACCTCTTATTACTTAAATTTGGTGCTAAGTCCCACCTGCTACTTCTCCATCATGAGATCAGATCGTCAAGAAAAGCTACATTCCAGCAATAGGGACAATTAAAAACTGAGCTTCAAGATGGCTTGTCAGGGACACCTGCAGAGAATGTCATTCAGAGACACAGGGGGAAACTGTCACAGTTTACATGGTCACACTGGGCACAGTGGTGCATGACTGCATTAAAGCTGTTAGAAGGGGAAGCAGGAGGCTCACGAGTGTGAGGGAAGTCTGGCCTGCTAGGGATGTCCTGTCTGAAAACCAGTAATAGAATGGAGTCTCTCCAGCCCTTCTAAAAGTTAGTAAATCTGATTATGGCATATTAGTGGTTACTATGAATTAACTTTACATTAATCTTACATTAACTCAATGTCCTCTAACTTTGTCTCCTTTTTTGTTTGTTTCTTCATTTTGTTTTTTTCAAGACATGGTTTCTCTGTGTAGCCTCGGCTGATCAACAACTCTCTTTGTAGACTAGTTTGGCCTCAAAGATCTGCCTGGCTTTGCCTCTGCCTCCCAAAAGCTGAGATTAGAGGTGTATGCCACCTGCACCTGGCCCTAACTTTAACTCTTAATTTGTATTCATTCCACCTATGTCTTTCTTTCCAGACTGAATGTGGGGCAGAATGAGAGAGTGACAGAAAAAGAAGGGGAGACACAGACAGAGAGAGGACGACAGAGACAAAGAGAGAGAGAGGGAGAGAGAGAGAGGGAGAGAGAGAGAGAGAGAGAGAGAGAGAGAGAGAGAGAGAGAGAGAACTGTAACTATGATTCTATGCTGAAGCTCTGGCAGGGAAAGTGATATCCTAAAACAGAATCTGTGCCCCTCCCTTTCAGTAGTCAAACTATTGAGATAATGAACTCCAAAGAATATAATTAATATTAATTACATTCTTCCCAAATGCCATGCATGGGGAGACACACCGATAGCTAGCACCAGCCAAAAGAGGAACTGGCTTTTTGGGAGGCGATTTCACAGTTCCAGCATCTTACCCCACAGTTAAATTAACTTATGTAATACTTTCTGGTTTTTCATATCACAAGTTTTTTTTTTGTTTTTGTTTTTGTTTTTGTTTTTTTTAACCATTGTCTCAGGAAAGACCGAAATTGCCTTCGATTTACAGTGATGGCCAAACTGTACGTGAATCCATTTTATTTTATCAGTTCTGGCTCCATTGTTTGTTTTAAAATCCAGGGAAATGGGGCATCCGGTTTGTGAACCTAAATGCTCAGTAACAGAAGTACAGATCCGAGAAAACTAGAAGGGACAACTGCTGACCTGTGGACACCCAGGCCTGTCCTAGTCAGACTCTTCAAAACCAATGACAATTAAAAACATAAGAGAAGGAAAGTGACTGAACAACACACAATAATATGTATGGATGACAATGAGAATAGAACTCATCATTCTGTAAGCTAAGATAAAAAGTAATTTAAAACTGAAAGTATAGTACGACCATAAGAACTACAGCAAACTAAGCCTTAGATACCATACAAGTCATAAAGCAATGGGCTTGCTGTCAAATATTGAAAAAATTGGTCTTTGAAAAGAGCTGAAATTCAGTTACTCCCATGCTTCAGAATGAGGTGGAAGAGTGCACTGGTAATTTGGTTTTGTTCAAAAGAGAAGTGAGGTGAATCTAGTGAGACATTTCCCTGTGTAACTGACAAGGTTCTCACAAGGGGTAGCTTACTAGGGCAGAGGTGAATATTTTAAGGTCTGTCATTCACTAGGCACATATAGTTGTGTGCTGGAACAAAAAAAATCAATCTTCCTTTCCTGTGTGACACTTTTGGGGGTTTGAATAGATAATAGATGATAGATAGGTAGATAGATAGATAGATAGATAGATAGATAGATAGATAGATGATAGGTAGATAGATAAATCAAAGCTTCATAAGAACAGAGTTAACTCAGATTAACTTTTTCTTATAACACAATTTAATTAAGTATCCAATAGTAAACTTAATTAAATAAGTCAATTTAAGTAATAGTAATAAATGTTAAGCAATAATAAATTTAATTAAAATTTCTTGAACTCCCTCGCTGCCCTAGATTTCTGTGGTCTAGAAAACAATGGTTACACTTTTAAAAATTCTCTAACAGCCCCAATTTGGAATTCGTGTTGGCACACTGAAGTAAATACATGCTTCGTTGCTCAAGCATGGCTGCCAACTTAGAATCTAAACTGCATTTTATAATAACTGCTCACAGCTGCAAGGCTGCCTGGGTTGGTGACATGTGGGTTTTTATTGTAATATTGAGTTTTAGATGTCAGGGGTACACACTGAGAACCATAACACAGGGTGCCCTGCCAGTCAAACATCATCCTCAGGAAGCTACAGTGAATGCTTGAGAATTTGCATGCGGTTTGAAAGGCATGTGGCCTGTGATGTTAATGGGAGTCGGGGAAGTCACTTTTGTTCCATGCTTTGGAAACTTTCCATTGACTTATCTGACTCACAGAGCTCCTTTCCATCAACAACCCCTTCGGTACACGCTCACCAGCCATCGTTTTACGGCCTTAAGGAGACCACTCCTATTTCTAAAGTGCACGCGTGGAGCACATGTAAAATTTAAATCTGTTTACACACACACACACACACACACACGCGCGCGCGCGCGCGCGTGCACAATAATTAAATACAGCCATTGTCCACTCTCCAAATCGTCTCTTTCCTGAGATATCCACAAAACCCCTTAATTATCTGCCATGCTACACAGTTTTCCAATCCTCTCTCTTGGCTGATGATTTTGCCAATGGAGCATGAAGGTTAAGGATAAGGGGGAGAAGAGACTGATCTGGCCTCTTTACTTGACGTGTAAAGCCTTGCGGTTGCCTTCGGAGTAGCACGGCGAAGCCCTTGATTGTGTCATTCCCTCATCCCTAGACGTGCTGCCACTGACGGATCACACTTGGGTGTGTGAGTTCACTGATGTGCCTCAAGGAAGAGGCTGCTTAGGTAAAAGTTCCAGTGAGTGTTGTATCGTGTGGATTTCAAATAAACTGAAACGAGCAACCAGGATGGTCGATTATGATTCTGTTTCAACACTGTGATTCTGTGCATGTTTGCTTTGTGATTGTATACTTTTAGGGAACACGGGCAACAAAATAACTGCCTCTGGGTAATAAAGGCAGTAACATTTTCCTTCTGAAACCCGGGAGCCTTTAGGTTGTCTACTTATCTGGTAAACCCGAACCTCACTTAGTTAAGTCGCACTATGAAAACACAACAGAATCAGACAAGCTGCAAGCTGACTTAAGTTTTCAGGAAGGCGAATACTGTTTTCTTTGTCCTCTTCTAACTTTCAGATCCTGATTTTATCAGGCCATAGAGGTAATATCAGAAGATAGAGGAATAAAACCTGGTTTTTGTTTCTCCCCTGGAGACACTGATTCAAACAACACATCAGTTCTCTCGTGGAAAACAGAAATTAGTTGAAAGGCTACTAGCTGCACAGCAAGTGCAAAGAAAAGCTTTGATTGAAAGACACTCAACAAGTGTGTGGCCACTTGCAAGAGTCCCATTGCTTGACACAGCCCAGGATATGTGGCTGCTATGCTTGACTCCCATCTCTTACCTGAGTAGAGACTCTCAGACCCTTTATGCGACAATGAGCCTTTGCATGGTATTGCTAGACTGGTCCGAGTCAGTTCAATCTTGGATGACACTTGAATCTACTACAGAATTAGTCATCATCGCTGTTTCTCTGAGTTCAGAGCAAACAAAGCTTTTTAAAGGTTCAGACTCCTTCTTCAGAAAGAAAAAGCCTGACAATTGTGTAATGGTCCCACTTTTAGAGAGACGACCTATGGAACTGGCTTTGATCTCAGCACTGATGGGGCCCAACTCTCTCTAGATAATTGGAGATTTTGAAGAGCAGATGGATTTGGTGGTGGATAAGTCCATAAAATATATTCAGTATTGAAATTGTGAAATCTAAAGTGAAGCTTCACAGCTTCCATTTCAAATGCCAGCTTTAAATGCACATAAGTTTATTAAGTTGTATAGACTCTGGGTCTTGCTAGTTTGGGTATCTAGTATTTTTATTTATTTGCATTGGGTTTTGTAATGTTTATTTTAAAAATAATAGGAAGTAGGCTGTACTACAGACAGACAGACAGACAGGTTTCTCAATATCTGACCAGGATGCCTCTGCGGGTCTGGCCAAAAGGAGACCATCCAGATGAGCACATCAGACCAAAGATGGAGTGGAGATAAGAAACCCTCCGGAACCACACTAGTGTGCACAATACCGTTCTCACCACACCTGAGAGCAACACCATTGAACTTCTAATCTTTCCCAGATCTCTGGCCGCTTCTGGAGAACCTATTTAACAATAAGCATTCTGTTTCTATCACTATCTATGTGTCCCTCATCAAATTCCTTGTTCTAAAGCCCAAGAACCTAGTAAATTCTAGTAGCTGCCTTCTAGAGTCCAGTATCTGCTGACAGGTGACTATTTTGTCTAGTGCGCAGACTCCAGCACAGAGACTCAAAGCAAATGAAATCTCTGGGAAGAAATAGCAGGTGGATGTGTTAATATTGGGAATCCATCATTCAGGTTTATTTCCTTGACATGTAGCCACCAAGAGGAATATGCTGCCCAGTACTCCAGAAAGCCGCAACTGTTCCTTCTGTATTGGCCAGTGCTCCTTATTCATACCCTGTGGAAGCAGAAAAGCTAGTCCTTGCCCTGCGTGCTGTTTTAGTGAAGATGCTTCATGTCACCGTGCAGCCAAGGCCAGAGCATTTCCTGCAGGAAATTTCCTGGTATTTGTCACAACTTCTGAGAAATCCAGGTCACAGTGGATTTTACAAAGAAATGCTTCAGATGCCCACAGGTGCTGATTCATAGTCTCCTTACCCTGCTAGAGGGTCAACGTGCCCTGAGTCCATCTTGAACACAGGAGCACAAGGTACCTATCTGTTGCATACAGATGTTTGTTTAAACCCATCATTACCCCCAAAGTCAGTTCCAAATCTACAACATTCAACCATTCACTTCTTTATTTACCCTAACAGAGGAGCTAAGAACTAAACCAACTGTTTTAAACACAATGCAGTTATATCCTAATACAAATACACCTTAAGGGCTTATATTTCGATTTTAATCTGAAAATTTCAAGGACAGAAAAGATGCCCAGATATGCTGTGACCACATGTAAAAATAATAGAAAACAGTGAACATATCAGATTTCTCCTCTCATTTACAGTTAGCTTCCTCCATTCTCTGTGACCATTTATTCTAATGAAAATCACCCCCACGAGGTTTGAATACAATGAAGATTTGATTTCTGATTTTGTATCTATAGGCTTGAAAAGACTCTGGCAAAGAAAGAAACATTGAAGTGTTCACTATAAGAGACGCTTTGATTTCTGTAGCTGGATTTTATTTCAACGACAATAGGAATAGAATGAAACCCATGCTTAACAAATGAAAAGTTACAAATGCCTTTCATTTAAGCTTGAGAACTTTCAATTCTCCTCTGTTGCCCTGGTTTCGGTAACCACATGGGACCATTCAATTATTTCCCTCACACACAGAGAGTGAAATACCTTTATGTCAGGAAATTGGCCCAAGTAGGTGTCCAGCGTCAGCAAGGACCCGTCCACTAGTTTTTGATGGAAGTCTTCCCATAGAACATCACATTTCTAGGGGGAAAATAAGAGACAATGACTCCATAATCTCAGACACATCTCACTAAATTTCTAACATATACAAAACCATGCAACTTGGCAAGCAATACTCCCCAAGATATGAGAAGATATAATAATGACTAATTAGGAAACAAACAGTAAGGCAGTCTGTTGTAGCTAACAACCAAGCTAAGAGGGTGGCTTCCTTAAAGTTCATCTCTGATTCTGAATTACTAAGGAATGTGGATGTCTTAACAGGTTCCCAAGTTCCAGCAGACAGACACTGGAGCTAAAAGATTGAAAAGAACTCCCGCGAGACAGCTAATTTCTCTGCCGCAATTGAAGGAACTGAGCCAAGCCAGACAGAAACAGAAACAAAATGTGGCTGAAATCTCATTTATAGAATGAAAGTCTGTCATATTACCAGTTATGAGGTATCCAGAGGATTGGGGGAAAAGGGTATCTGGTATTGTCAGTCTACCATGCCATGTCTGGGCTGTCACTTCCAAATTTATGTGAGTAGTAAGTCTTTCTTTTAAAAAATCTTATTTATTCTTTGTGTCTTTTACATCATCCACCTCAATCCCATTCATTTCTTTGTCCCTTCACATCTGTGCTCTGCCCTTGCAACCTCCCCAAATAAAATAAAATTTAAAAAAGAAATCTCATCATGGAAGCTGCAGTGTGACATAGTGAGTCACACAGTGAACCCTTTAGTCCATATATCTTTACTTGAAAGTGTTCATTGCAAAGAGTCACTGGATCAAGACTTCCAGTGTCTGCTACATTAACAATGCCAGACCCTCACTGAGACTCCTCTTAGGTATCCTATTGTTGTCCTGTGTCATGGAGATCCTGAAGCTTCTACAGGACTAGACCGGCCCCTTCATATGCTTTTGTAGATCATAGATGGGATGAATGTTGGGGTGGGCCAACTCATAACCCTGGTTCTGGGACTAGGTAGTTGCAGGGTTGGTCAGCCCATCAGCTCTCCCCTGTCCTCACCACCAGGCTGAGTGCTCTAGCATTGCCATGGCTACTTCACCCCTTGTAGCCATGAGCAAGGGACAGAGACAGTTCTCCTGCTTTCTCACCTACAGGGTAAGCTCTCTCACACCTGCACCATCAGGGCTAGCTCAACTGTACTGCCCAGGTGAGGTGCAGGGGCCAATTGCTAGAGCTCAGAAGGAGTAGGAAGATCTCTCCAACTTCATGACATCATGGCAGATGAGGGCCAAGACCAGCGCTCCTACGTTCATGTTTTCAGGGCAGTTCACCTATATCCTTGTCAACAGGGTCAGCTCTGCTGTGCTGCCTAGGCGAGGTGCAGCGCCCAATTTCCTGAGTGTTGCAGCTGGTAAGGGGAAGAGTCAGCTCCCTCACCCACCACAGTCTCAGGGGCAAGAGGGGAAGAGGAGGGCATCTTTCCTGTGCTCTCAGTGAGTGGTAATTCTTAATCTTGTTTCTAAAAAAAAAAACAAAAACAAAAACAAAAACCCAAGCAAATAAACAAAAAACAAGTTTAAAATTGGATATAATGTCCCACACCTAAAATCCCCAAATGAAGAAAATAAAAGTGAGAAGACCAAGGCCAGCCTTAGCTACACAATAAGTTTGAGTCCAGCTTAGGCAACATGAGATCATTTCCAAAACAAATCAAATAATTTTATTTGCATTTTTTCCTTTTTAGCACTTCAAAAACTAATCCTAGTTATTATAATGTCCAATTTAAGAATATTATGCAAATAAAGTAACTTAAACCTACTAATGAAAATGGTTCATCACTCATGGTGAGTAGACTCTGAACATGTAATGATCTGTGGTTCTGTTATCCAAAGGATGATGTTTGCACCTGAAACTCAGGGTCCAAATGTTCGGGAATCCACAGGGACCACTGTAGTACAACAGCCATTTCATTAAAGAGACAGTGTCAATAGTGATATTGCCGTGGAAAAAATGGAATCATGAAATCTTCTAAGGATAATAATACACCTTTCCATTATTCTTTAAATTTTCGTTGTTTGTCATGGGTTTTGAGAATGCATTATTGGTCAGGAATGTACAAAATGAGATAAGCATTTAACAACATGCGACTGAAATATGGTGTTTTTATACTGAAAAAAAGTAAGATGATAAAAACACTCAATTAGTGCATTAGAAAATGGTGTGTGGAACATTTTAGCCAAATCCACATCCTAAAAGATTTTAGAAATGGGTTATCTCCAACAAGAGCGTTTCTCATACATAAATTCATTCTTGTTTCAGTTCTAATGGGATCACAAAGATCAGCATCAGGGTGTCGGCACTGTCAGGCAGCAACCAGAGACTCTCCAAGGCTGTAGACAAGCGCAGCTTATCGGATTAGCCTTCCCCTGGGCTTCAGCAGTGTCATCTAACTCAGACCTTCTCTTCCTAGATGTGCTGCATCGACTCACCTGAAGGAATGGCATGACAAACAGTTGCTCTCCTAGAAGCTCCCCTCGCTGACCACAACATGCTCTGAAAACTGACTAGGGGACCTGAACACAAAGGCTTCAAACGTGCTTCCAGTTAGCACAATAGTTATTCCCATCTTGTACATGGGAATGAGTCCCCAGAAAATAAAGGAACTGCCTGAGGTCACACAGTCATTCTTGCTGTCTGTTCCACTCTACTTTCCACAAAGCAGTGACAGCTATTGTCTTACGTCCTGCAGGTCAGCTGACCCCCAGCTCCAGTCTTCAGCTCAGGTGTGAGGGTATTTCTAAGTCCCAAGATGCCATGGAGTTCAGTTGATTTTAGTGAATGGACTAACTGTGCAACAGAGGATGGGAGGTCTTCTGAGCCTTTGCTTCTGTATTCCAAGAGGGTTGACTAAAAGGGAGGTGAGAATAAAAGGGAGAACTCCTGCACAAAAACAACACCAAAAAAGGCTATGCCAAAAATATCTGCCACAACCTATGTCATCTAGCAGAAAAAAGCTATTGTTATTTTGAAGAAAAGCAATCTTTAACCCAACCCTTCTCAAATGTTCTGGAACTGCTTTTGGAATCGAGTTCCCCTCACACTACAAGTGCGGGATGACTTAGGCAGTAGACCTCAGGCTGCCTTCTGAGTATCTAGTCTTACTTTGCCCTGAAGTGGGAAGGGGGTAAGTAGGCTGATCAATGGAAGTCTTCTGGAAGTCATTCTATGAGTCACGACCTCGCTCTCACCTCACCAACCATCTTCACATCTTCCCTTCCGTACCAATCGGGCTCGTAGACTTCATGAAGTGACTCGGTGAGCTTCATTGAGGCCTCCTGCATGCCTAGCATCGGAGAAAAACAGTTCTTGTTACATGGAATGACTCTCTTCTCCCTTGCTTTGATAACTGACACAGAACCAACTATGAGAGCACACCTACATCCTTCCTTGAGAGGCTCTGAGTCTTTGTCCCTTCTTACAGTACACATTTTCAGTTACTTACACAATGGTAGCAAAACACTGGATCTTAGAAGTCAACACTATCATAGTCTAAGAACTACAACAACAACGTGCTCTAGTCACTTAATAAAAGGAATCTAACAACAAATATCTAGAACACCGAGATAATAAACAACGCTGCAAAATTCTAAGAGCAAAATTAATCCTGAATCACTGTATAAAAAAAAAAGTACATTCAAAGCAAGTAGAAACAGTATAAATAGGACTTCAGTATGTATAAGTTGAAAGTGGTTACTTGATGTAAACAGTCAAACTATTGAAAGTGGCTACGATTCAAGTGGAGCTTAGGTTTTCAAAAGACAAGTAAAAATGTATTTTCTCAATATCTCTCAAAACTATGAATATAGTTTTGAATAAAACCTTTCAGAAAGCTTTGACTTCATGAGGTCTAAGCTTTCTTTACACATCAGGAGGCTGCAAACACTCACTTACTAATAATAGTAACAATAGGAAGTGAGTATGACAGCAGGGTATATAAAGCAGCTCCAGGGCTTTGCAGCCACCACCCCTTTATGTCCTCCTGACATTCCCGGAACCAGCAAAGCACAGAGGATAAAGTGCAAAGGCTGGGTTCACATGAAGGCGACCCATGAATGACACCAGAACATTAGGCAAGCAGTTGCTGGAAGACCCTGCCTGGCCAAGTTGGTGTCTCAGCTATTATCAGTCAGGAGTTAACAAAGGGAAGCAGAGAAAACTTAATGCTGTGAAGCAAGGATTGGAACCATGTGTAAATTGATAAAAGCCACAGGATATCTGGACAGATAGTAATCAGTCCGGGGTTCGCCAAGGAGTACAAAAGGACAAAATTAAAGAGGTCTGAGTTGATAGTCTGTATTGCAGAAGAATGCGTGAAATCCACACAGGTACAACTTGACATATAAGCCTATGTGTTCCCCATCTCCCTGATAATTGAATGTAAATAATGGCCCTCACCATTGAGGTTGGGTGGACCTCAAACACCCACACTCATGCATATACCCCCATAAGGATATGTAGGCAAACACATAATTAAAAGATGAAGAAAGTATTTTTAAAATACAGACAATAGAGGCATCTGCCACACAGTGATGCCATGAAAATTGAAAGTGCGTGCCTGGCAAGTAAAAAGCTTATATATCTTTCTATTTAAAAATAAATTTTATTGATCATTATCATTATGGCTAGTTTTTTATTAATAATATCCTCAGTACTTTATCATTTATCAAGATCATTATAATCAGTTTTACACACTCACCATGAACTACAAGAATACCTTCTTAGAAGTGAAGGACTGTGTCAAAAGGTACGTGTAAAAACTGAAGGAACACTCATTTAAAAGCCTCTGCCAAATTGCTTTCCAAGAAAGCAATCTTAACAGAAAAAAAAAATTGTCTTGTGTCCTTGAATAACCAGAATTGCAAGGATGGCATCTCCTGTGTCATTTTCTTAATCATTCTTTGGTGAGTCCTGAAGATGAAGATTTTTCATGTCATGTCCATCAGAAGTTCTTTTCTCTTTTGTTTTGGTTTTTGATTTGTCTGTCTGTTTTAGTTTTGCAGTGCTGGAGCCTGAACCTAAGGTTTCACCTTAACTAAGCAAGTAAGTATTCCACCACCAAACTATGTCATCTGTCCTTAACCGCGCTTACATTTCTATTTTGAGACAGTTTCACTAAGTTGCTCAGTGTTCATTAGGGTAGGTTTGATCTTCCTTATGCTCTTATGATCTTCCTGCCTCAGCTCCCCCGTTTAATTCTTCTCTAGCTAAATTTCTCTCCAAACATTTTGTTCATTTCTAAAAATAAATCATTCGCCATTTAGTTTACTTACTTAGTTCTTTGTGTCTTAGTTCAACTGCATTGAATAAAATGTCATCATTTCTGGTCATTTTAAACACAGGTTTACATGGGAAAAATCTCTGGTTCTTAGTTTATGTCTTTTGGGGTATCTTGAAAAGACCTCATTTCACCCAAAAATGGGGACTAAATACTTTGTGTTTTAGTCTCATACTGAAACTTTTTGTATGTGCATGTTAAATCTTTATCTGAAGTGGGAAGTAATGAAGTGTGAATTGGGCATTGCATGTTTTTCTCAGTGTTGGAGAGTTTTCCCATAACTCCATGTAAGAAGCTTCATCCTCTCTCCACTCACTGTGAGGTCTGCTCTATGGAGCATCAAGTCTGTTGGTGCTCTTGGCTTGGACCCAGAGAGGGACACCTGGTGATGAGTAGAGAGTAGCCTGGCAGCCCGCATTCACTCCTCTTACCCCTTCTACTAGCCTCCTGGATTGCACAGCAAAGGTCAGAAACCACTCTGTTCCCTAGACTGCACACTGGCACAACTTTATAAACAGTTGGGCTTTGTTTTCCTTTTTCATTTTGCAAGTCACAGACTTGTGTTCCCGGGTACCCAGCCACCACCAGCTTCTCCTGCGACTTTTTGCTCCTCATAGTGAGAGAGCTCTTACTTGAGTCTGTGAGTATTGTAGCTTGGGACCTAGCTCCCTCAGAAGGGATGCCAGCTGCAGATTTGCTTTAGTAAAGTCTTCCGTTCACTCTGTCTAACAAACCTTCCTAGAAACCCCTGGCATGTGGGTGGCATTTATTTTTAGTTTGTGGCTGAAGGGCAGAAGTAGATTTGTCCTTGAATATTCTGAGTATCATTTCAATGGAAACTGGAAGGGGGTGGAATGAAACACCTGTGTTCTAATATGCTACTTGCCAGCAAGCCAAGTGGAGCTCTCAACTCATTAACACTCACTCCTGTTTCTTACAAATTCCAAGAACAACTTGTGCTTGGAAACAGGCGGTAAACAACACACATACACATTACCTTTGATTGCTGCTAAATATCCTCGGAGTTCTCGCTGAAGTCTGGTACCCTCTGCCTGAAAAACACACAAGTGCAGAGATGCTAAACGTCTTGTCTCTATTTTTCATGCAAATATGAAGAAGTGTTAAGATTTGGTTATCATTGCTAGAACCTTGTTACTGGAAAAAAATGTATGTATGTAAGCACAGACTGAACAAGATAATATGCCCATTAGTCTCAGTATTTATACAGGTGTTATTCAGAGAAAAAAAAAGACAAGATTTTGCTAAGTAGAAAGTGGGGTATAGCAGACAGACCCTTCATCCTTCATTCTTAAGAACCACCAGTAGAAAGGCTCCTATATACATCTGCTTTTTTTTAATTTTCACAATTGGAAATAGCAAAACCATTTTTATCACCTCTGTTCAGAATGGTATCTGGCTGTTGTTAAGTCAGCCCAGTATCCTGTGAAAAGGTGAATGCTGAGGCATGTGATTGGGCAACCAAAAATTTCTGAGGATGCACACACTATACACATTTTTGTCAGAATCATGTCACAAACCTGCAAAAATAACCTTTCCACCTTAAGTTTTATGGGAATAATTATGGCAGTCATATTCTCTCAACAAATCAATCAAATGATTAGGCATATGATTATAAATTATCATCCAATACAAACCTAAAATATCTAAGCAATATATATATATATATATATATATATTAGATATAAATGGCATTTAGCACTAAATACCCATTCAAAGTACTTGGAGATATGAAATGTCCATCATCTTTAAATATAGACAGCAATTAACTCAAACACACTCTGAAAAAAAAGATTTTTGCTGAAGACCATGTTTGATTCAAGGTGCACCCTACTGCCTACCAACGGAATACGTAAAGAGTGGCATTGTTATCATCCCGAAAACAAAAAAAAAAAAAAAAGAGTGGCATTGTTTCTTGCTGATCTATGTAACGTGCAGGGAAAGTGTGTATTTGAGTTCATCTCGGGCTAGTTTTTACAACTCTGCATACTGTCAATATCAGAGAAAAAAGTTACCGCATTTCTTGGAGTGAATGAATTTTAATCAGAGTGGTTCCATTCAGAATGGAAGAAGAAATTAGTCAGGTTCTACATAAGGGACCTCCATTTCAGTGTATTGACATGGTACAAATAAACATCCTCGGGGTTCCTTGACTGGATGAGTCTAATAGAACCAGAGTGTGAAGGCAAACTGCAGAAACCTGGGAGGAAAATGGGTGAAATTCTAAAACAAGACAGTGCAGTAGCAAAGCATTCCACAGAGAAGCTATAAGGATAAACATGGGAGATGAGGCGGAGAGTAATGAGCTCCCAAAGAAGCCACAGGACAGAGAAGCAGAAGGAATGCCAAGACAAAACCTTGAGAAAGGGACTTTCCTCCCTAAAATCTAAATCTACATACAGGAGACCATTACAACTTCACTTTTTAAGAATCCATAACCCATAGCCAACCCTGGTCCAAAAGCACATAATGGAAAATTCCGTAAATAATCCCAATTTTGATTTGTGGCCGGATCTCTCCCTCACAAAAATATAAATAAAGGTACCCATGCTGTGTATGCTTCGCGCCATTTTATCACCACCCTTATGTTCCAATAAACTTTATCTTATAATAATTCCAAAGTGTGGGAGCACTCACTGTGGTGAATTAGATATGCTGAAGAAAATGAAGGTTCTAAAGACAAGAAAGGAGAAAAATAGCTTGCTGAGGTTGCATGATCTTAGGAGATATAATAAGTCATTGTTCATCTTCTTCTGAGCCTCATCTATAGACATATAGACTACAAATGTGTATAAATGAGAAAAGATGATATATACAGGTTTGATATAATTCATGGCTTCAGAAAATTTAGTCTGCATTCCTCTCAAGCGAGGAGAAAGTACTGAAAGATTCAAAATATAGACTTGAGAGATTTTATTTCTGATATATCATAATTCTTTTAATAAAAGTAGTAATTTCAGCTTTAATAACATCAGAATTGGCGATGGGACTTCTCTTGGGCCACGGAATGTGAGTAGAAGTGCCGGGCACTGCTAAGCTGGAAGTCATCACACAGCCTTGACACGTCTTTCTTTCGCCTTGGGTCCCACAGTGTTCCAGATGGGGCTGTTTGTTTGACCTGGATCCCAGGGTGACAGAAACTCACAATACAGCTCATTTTTACATTTGCAAAAGTGAGAACCATTTCGGCAGAGAGCCGTGGAGATGGCGTGACCTCGCTGGAATGTAGACCAAACTGCCCAATTAAACGAGTCAGTGAGCACTGAGAATGCTGACCTGCAGCAAAGGCAGAAATACAGCAACAAAAGATCCAATGGAGCTACCGAGTGGAGAAGCATTACTGGAATTTGCAGAAACATTCAGAAAAGAAAACAAACTGGAAATGTTAAGGACAAAGCAAATAGTTAAAAGATAACGGAAGCTTGAACAATCGAAAGAGATGGGACGGGGCTGAGAGAAGCCAGGTTTCACATCAGAGGTTAGGAGGTTAGAGGGAATCAAGTCTGAACTGAGAACTTTGATTTCTTTTGTTTGTTTGTTTAATTTTTTATTTAATTTTAAAGATTTCTGTCTCTTCCCCACCGCCGCCTCCCATTTCCCTCCCCCTCTTCCAATCAAGTTTCCCTCCCTCGTCAGCCCAAAGAGCAATCAAGGTTCCCTGCCCTGTGGGAAGTCCAAGGACCACCCACCTCCATCCAGGTCTAGTAGGGTGAGCATCCAAACTGCCTAGGCTCACACAAAACCAATAAGTGCAGTAGGATCAAAAACCCATTGCCATTGTTCTTGAGATCTCAGTAGTCCTCATTGTCCGCTATGTTCAGCGAGACGGGTTTTAGGGATGTACTCACTCATATTTGGTTTCTAGCCATAAATAAAGGGCATTGAGCCTATAATTCATGATCTTAGAGAAGCTAAATAAGAAGGAGAACCCAAAGAAAAACATATAGGCATCCTCCTGAATATTAACCTTCATCAGGCGATTAAAGGAGACAGAGACAGAGACCCACATTGGAGCACCGGACTGAAATCTCAAGGTCCAAATCAGGAGCAGAAGGAGAGAGAGCATGAGCAAGGAACTCAGGACCGCGAGGGGTGCACCCACACACTGAGACAATGGGGATGTTCTATCGGGAACTCATTAAGGCCAGCTGGCCTGGGTCTGAAAAAAAAAAAAAAAGACCTTTGATTTTCTTGAACTGATTTGAATCCAAAGCAATGTGAAGCTGAAAGTTCTAAAAGGTACAGTTAGGAGAATTTCAGTTCCTCAATATCACGCTTCTCAAACCAGGTGAGTGGAAAATCTGGGCTGCATCAGTGGCTTCTCCAGGACTCATAGAGAAGAACGCCACACACAGTCATTAGGCCAGAACTTCACAGACGTCTCTGGATCTTAGATGCTGTCTCTACTGTTTGTGGTTCTCCAGGGCCACAGAGATGAAGGAAGCCTTACTAACCATGAAAGATGCTTTACTCTCAGCCCCTCATGCAGACAGCATGCAGAACCCCCTGTGAAAATGGTGGCCATGAGTAGTCACCAGGATTGTTCAGAGTATCTGGAAATAGCAAACGAGTAGCAGGAGAGGGCATCCATCTCCCAAACACTCATGGAACAGAGTATGTCAGATGAAGACCACAATTAAGCCACTGCCTTTTCTTTCAAAACAAGAAAGAAATTTAAATTATTCATGCTCCTCTCCGTATACTGGATTAATCTTGCCAACAGGAAACAATAATGTTTTTTTTAATGAAGTGAGATTCTCAGAAGAGATTATTTTTTCATGTAACAGTGAGGAAAAGTTCAGGCTGTGCAAGACTAGCTTAAATAGATGAGCTCAATTTAAGCAGAATCCCAGAGCTAATTTAAATGACTTTCTGCTTTCTCAGTTATTAACAGCTTTAATTTTCCCTATAAGGTCATGTAAATCTTTCGGTAACAACCACATGGAGCTCCATCTAAAATTCTGCCAGATCCCAAAATGCAAAAGGCTTTGTAGAAAGATTCTTCACCTACAGCATCTCATAGGGTAGGTTCTTGTACGTGCTAAAAATTTCTCTACCTCATTACTGTGGGTAAACAGTAGATAACTATAATTGTTAGATTCTTCATCTAGATACATCCACCCTCATTTTGTATTTATCTATAACATATGCCAGGATCTCTGAGGGTGTGTGGTCTAGCAGAATTGTTTAATGTTTCTAAGTCTTGGCTTTTGGCAGCTTTTAAGTGGAAAAGCATAGAGCCATATCCCTCTCCTGTGATTCAGTCCCGTTCTATAATAGTCCAGCTAGTGGCTGTCCTTCACCACTCTCCTTTCCTGCATACTGGTTTTCCTGTAACACAAGGACACCCTTGCAGCGGCGGCATGCTGCTCTTTGGTTTGCTTCCAATGTACTGTGTTTTTCCTGTCTTTGCTTTCTCCATGCATTTCTAATGATCCTTTCACTTTCTCCCATGCTCCCTCTGCATCCTCACAGATCCCAAACCTCAAACACATGCTCTCTTTGATTTAAGTTGAAAAAAACTCTCACCCCACTGCTCAGATTTCATTAAATCTGAAGCTATTCAAAATTCCTGAGAACTGTTACTTTAATACCTCAACCATGAATTTTGAATTTATTCTGTGTATAGAAACTACATTTAAATCCCCACATCTGTGGTACTATATGACTTTACTTTCCTTGACTATTTTTTTATGTAATTCTCTAACAAATGGTATTAAGATTATTTTTTCACCTCTTGATCACAGTCTTTCAGACCTCATATAAACAGTAGAGAAAAGGAATCTATTACAATGAAGGCATCTGAATTTCTTAGCAATGTTCTTCTTTGGACAAGACCCAGGAAGGATCTGCCACCTACAAAGTCCCCTGTCCTGCCAAACATGGTAGCATTCCACATAGCTCCAATGTGAATCAGAAGTTTTGTTTTTCGATTGAATCATTTTCAGTTTGGCAGGAGCTGCCTAATATTTCTCAAGCCCAGCTGGCCGACCAGGTTGCACTTTCCCACACACAGCCTTTTCTTCCAAATTAA